TTTTTTTTTGCTCTTTATCTCTGAAAATTTAAATTAAGAGTTTTCAGATGTTATTTTCAATTATTTCCATGTTTCCCTGGAACTTAGTAGAATTAGGGTCCTCATTCCTAATTCAAGGGATGCATACCATAACAGTTTCTAGCCATCAGGAGCCAACCACTGATCTTACAAGTTAACAGGAAAAACTTGTTACTTTAAGTTGTCCTCTGAGAATATAGAGCAAAACATTATTTAATTCTCACTGTTACATTTTTTAAGCAAAAAATACCATAATTGGTTAATTTATACATACTACTTTGAGTCAATACCAAAAAATTAGAATCTCCAATCTCCCAGTTTCTGTATATCTTAGCAAAATTTATATTTACTTAGCCAGGACACTTAAATTTATTCATTTTTTTATGCTTCAGAAGGACTTTTTTCTTAACACTTCATAATGAATCTAAGAGTTAATAAGAAATATAAATACAGAGCAGATGAATTCTCATGGACTGATCCTAATGCTTTTTTTTTTTTTTTGGCTTTTGCCAGACTAAGTAAATGTCCACTTAGAGTAACTGAATCCTTTGCTGTCTTTAACAACTTACTGGGACTGTGGCCTGTCTGCCCTTTATGTTGCTTACATTCTGCTTGTCTTGTCATTGAGCCATATTCTAAGACTTAAATTTAATATATCCAAAAAGCGGTGTTTCACTACTAAAAGCAGGAGTCAGCTAACAATACATTACACTTTAGCTTTCTATGTTTTTCTCCTTGTTTATAGTAAGGAGTGGCATAACCTCCACAGCCTTTAAATAAGTTGTCTGCAAAAGCATTCCCACAATTTTCCAGAGACATTTGGATAGCTTTATATGCACTTAGTGCTACAATATATTTTTATTGTTCACAGTGAAAGCAAAGATCACATCAATTCAGTATTACTTATGATTTACTTTTGTAAAACAGAAAAAAACAAAAAAACAAATAGCACACTTGGAAAATACTGTTACCTAAGACTCTTTCTCCAAATATCTGACTAGGTGTATATGCCAATATTTTACTGTAATTTATGCTAACCAAAAGGAAACATAATTTCTACTGTAGAGGTCTGTCTTTTCCTTGTATCCTTCTTGTGGGGTTGATCTCTTGCCTATATTTGATTCAAAATTGGTAGGAGCTGGATTTAACGTTGCCTCTGACCACTAGTGTAAACTGAGCTTCTTTTCTGCAATGTTGGCTCTTATCCTAATAATTTTTGGTTCTTAATAAATGATTACTGCTTAGTCATCCTAACATCAAGGAACTTGTAATGATTCTGGCCTTATTACATATAAGTTATGGAAATTATGCTAAAATAATTCCAAAATAATTGTGTTTAAAATATCAACAGGTTGACATTTTATTAATTCAGTAATAATAATTTGCAGTTCAGTTTAAGTGGAAAATGATCTGAGATTCAAAATGCTCTAAACAGCTCCTGTCTTTAGTATTTTGGAACAATTATGTTTTTGCCATGCCATTGCAACATATATATAGAAATAGGAAATGTTAACACCTCTCCCCATTCTCACCTCTCCTAGCTCAAAAATTCAGTTACATTTTGATTACTTGTAGTGAAGAAGGGAATGATGAAGTTAGAGGTGGGAATAAGGAAATTATAACATGGGTTAATTATAATAAGAGCAATGCTTTCAACTTTTGTTTTTTCTGGTATTGGCAAGAAATGGAAAATTGCCCTAGGAGTATGTCAGGGTACTCAAGGCTTGCCGTCGGGTATGGACATTCTCTAGAGGAAGCCAGAAAAGCTGTTATGCTCATAGTTGCAGTTTATTACAGCAAAATGAAACAGATTAAAGTCAGCAAAAGAAAAATGCTCATAGGGCAGGGTCCTAGCTACAGGCTGTTCATGGTCCTCTCACAGAGGGTTTGCCAGGAATGTGCTTGCTTCTCACATCAATAACATGTGACCACATACATATCAACTAGGGAAACTCACCAAAACCTGGGTGTAGAATTTTTATTTCAGGGGTGTAGTCAGTTTTATGAGCATGGAATGCACACATGACCCACCTTAGTTATTCAGCCTCTCTCCAAAGACCAACCTCTCCACTGATACCTGTGGCCCCTAATCCCAGGTGAATGGGAAGGGCTTTCAGCATAAATTTCCTTGTTTGCAAAACTGGTTGGGGTGATTCAATATGTCAAGTATACAAAGATAGCTTTATCCACCTGTCTGTTCCACAGGCTCAAATTACTACCCGGGAGCACATTAAAATCACATTAGTAATTCTTTGGATTATGCAGGTTTTGCGCAATGCCAAATCTACTGGTTTAACCCTAGATTACATAATAGCAAAGGGATCTCAGGATCAACGAGATTTTTGGGAGAAAAGGCCAGGGTTGGGCTGAGGTAGGTGGGTGAAATCAGCAGCCCTCATGGAAGCAAAGAAGAACGATAACCTGAGAGCACAAATGTAGCCATGTGTAGGTACATGCAAGAATTTCTTTAACAACCAATTTCAATTCACAGGTGTTTGTTATTGGCCAGTGTCTGAGTATTTAAAATTCTTAAATGGTTCAGATTAAATAAATGGAAAAAGAACTGGGCTATTTTCCTTGTACTTGTGTAAAATGTTTTAAAAGCCTACCTGATTCTTCTGTAGGCTTCTTAGCTTTTCTGTTGATTTTTTTTTTAATTTATTTATTTGTACATACAGAATTGGGGTACAGGCCAGAAGCTCAGGGGCGGCGAGAGGCTTCACCAGAGACAGAGTGGGGAGCAGAACAGGCAGATCGGCGAAGTACACTGCTGAGGGGAGCAGCAGGCGGGTCAGGAGAGGTCTGCCATGCCATGTGGTCACCTCCGGGGCAGGCGGAAATCGAACTCATGTGGAAGTGGCTTTAGCTTCTCAGTGCAGTGCTTTAACCCGCTGCGCCACCAGGGAGGGCCTTTCTGTTGATTTTTTATCTATACTGATGACCAAGGGAGGTGGGTGAATCTTGTGGAATTTGGTTCTAGCAGGAGCAGTTGGCAAGTAGGGTGCCTGTAACAGCTTTGTGAGCTCTCTCCTGAAGAGGTTTTGCCACTTTTACCAATTTTATTTTTTGCCTAGAAAATAGTTCATCAAAAAGTAATGGTCACTTTCAGTAGTTGCATGTAGCAAAGACTCATCTACAGAGTTCTGATTGTAACATCACTTAACAATGGGAATAATTTTCACATTGAACATGTTTTTCAGACAAGACTATTCCCAAATAGTATTCCCATAGTTTTCCAGAACTGTATCTTTTTTTTTTTTTTTCAGAATACTGTGTATATTTTATACTTGCAAACTGTAATAACTCAGATAATTTCAGTGCTCAGTAGCCACAGGAAGATATATATGGATTAACCTTTCCTGTTAATATAGATATAAAGAATGTAAGTACATGTTAACAGATTTTTTAAAAAGCAGAGTTTGACAGAAGAATTCACAGTTTAATATTAGTAAATGAACAAACTGTATAAAATGATGTTATTATCCTAGCAGAACTGTATCTTTTTAAAGCAATAATAGCACAATTTTATGTGACAGTCCAAAGTCTGTAGGATGTAGGGTGGCTTAATGTCAGGTGTCTGACTTAACAAAAGAAGACTGTAGGTGTAGGTCTGGTGATTTTTATTTCTGTTCTTCCTCAGGTAATCTGGCTTTTGTTGTTATTTTAGTTTATCACCTGTTGCTTTATCCCCAAGGTGAACTATTGCTTTGAACTTGGTCTCTGCTTTTCTTGCCCTGTTTCCATGGTAACAGGACACACTGTACATTCACTCTGTGTGGAACTGGCTATACCATCTTAAAACTGACCTTTAGTATTCACTGTCCACTTCTTGTTTGTGACAACATATTGACATTGACCTTGGTTCTTCAGTTCTTGTTCTCAGTTCTTGCAGAAAGACTGTTATCTTAATGTTAAATATCTAAAGCTTATTTGGATAGCAAAATACATGCTTCTCTCTCTCTCTCTCTCTCTCTCTCTCTTTCTCTCTCCCTCCCTCCCTCCCTCCCTCCCTCCCTCCCTCCTCTCTTTTGTTTCTACAGTTTTCAGCCTGTGGGTACTATTCATATCGGACATTTTTGGCATCTAGTTCAGTTTTCATTTATATAGTGAGCGCACAGCTGAAACCTTGTATTCATGATTAAAAAATAAAAGTAAAGCTAACTAACCAAACCATTTCTTGCTAGAAATTCCCTTAATCTTTTTGAATTTTCAGTAAGGATTCATTGTAATTTTTCAGAGGTACTATTAATAGCTTAAGATTTTTCGTTGTAATTGTCATGTTTAATATCTCAAATTTTCACACATTTTTCTTCTTTGCCTTCTAGAACCTAAAACATTGCTAAAATTACATTGCTACCTATTTGTAGTCTATAAAGTACACATTAGTATAGAGTGCTGAGTCCTTTATTTTCTTTCTTACTATCATTAATGCCTCACAATGCTGTCTAAGATTTTGGATGACCCAGTGCATCTTCCAGAAAATCTAAGCAGAGACAATATATCTTAGGTGTTAAAATTGAGGAATCACTCAGCTCTTTTTTTTTTTTTGCTGTTATCCTTACTACATTATGCCACATAAAGTATGGTTTTTACATGTTTATTATATTTGCGACTTACTCACTAAGGAATGATTCCTATGCAGGCAGAAAATAGGTTGTTTTCTCACACCCTGGAACAGCAGCCCATTGAGTATTTATTAAATGAAAGAATCAGTAAATCTTCACTAAATGCATTCTCTCACTTAACTTTTGACTCATACTTTATTTTTTATGACTATATCACTTAAAAGAACTATACATATTAAAGTTGTTTTTCTTTCCTTATTGTTTTTCTTTTTCATGTAAGTTCAGGATTTTATTCCAAAATGTGTTACAATATCAGCTCATCCAATCTAAATTTACCTCACCACTTCCCTTTACCTCATATTCCTATGTTGTGTAAAATATGTGAAAAAGTGAGGGCTAGAAACTCTGGTTCTATACTTACATGAGGTACATTGCATATTATCATTGCTTTGGAGTATACATACATTACTTTATGTGATAGCATTATTCTGAGAGCCTTATATATCAGTATGTACCTCAGATTTATTAACGCTTGGCAAAATAGTCTCTAGACTTTATAATTGTTAAATGCATTAAAACTGCTGCTCAGTATTCATCAAAAGTATTTGATGATACTTTTTAGGATTCTATTTAATGTTAAAGTACAATTCTGAATTTAATACTATGGTTAATTTGATAAGATTTACTAAGAGTATTTTCATTCACCTAAAAAATACTTTGATAAATTAAGTATGTGCATAATTTTAATATTTTATCCTCTGAATATAGGTACAAGTTATGGAAGAAAAATTAAAAGCAGCTAATATCCAAACCAGTGAATCAGAGACAAGGTTGTATAAAAAGTGTCAAGATCTGGAGACTCAAATACAGGAAAAAGATGACATAATTCAGAACTTGGAGCTGCAACTTGAAGAGCAGGTCAGGAGGAATTTGATCATCAAAGAATTCTAAATGTGTGAAATGTGTGCATTCATTTATGCATCATCATAAGATTTTAAAAAGAATCTAACTTTCTAAGTTTGGGTCAGAAATCTTACTTATTTGGTCAACACAGAAGATCAAGCCATATTGATTACTAAAAGATGCAAATATATAAAGTAGCATTCACTGTAAGTCCAGGTGATTCACAAATACTTTTTGAATGTGACAATGCTCCTTAACTCTCAGACTAAAGCGTTTGAGTGTAGTGCTTAACTTGAAAACACTTGGTTATCAGCAGGCATTTATGTCTGTAAAATGTTTGAAAGAAATCTCTGCTTTAGATCATTAGGGTGTTGGAAATGTTTGTGGAACATTGTATTTTAAATATATGCTTGAAGCTGATCCTGCTTGGAAGTGTGTGCACTGACTTGGAACCGCTTTATTGAGACTAAATGGAGTCATTAGTTCATCTTGAAATTTTATTCGGAAGAAAAATCCCATTAGGGTTATTAAAATATTCATTTAACAGTCATTTAAATGTGACCACTATGAAATTGTGAAATTCTTTACTTTCAGAATTGTTTTATTGTTCTGGGGATCAGTATTTCTTGAGGTCAGTGGTTTTTAACTTTTCACCACCCCAGAGCCCTGTCATGGTGATTTATAGGATAGTCGCATTCTTGGTAATTTTGTGACCATAGCCAGATGTTACGGTTGATAAATGTGTGGTAGGATTTCTTGAACTTTATTTTCTCTGGATTTTTTTTTTTAAAGATTTATTTACTTATACATACAGAACTGGGGCATAGGCCAGAGGTGCGTAGAGTGAGAGGATTCACCAGACACAGAGTGGGGAGCAAAACAGGCAGATCCACTGAAATGCACTGCTTAGGGGAGCAGCAGGCAGGTCAGGAGAGGTCTGCTGCGCCATGTGGGCCACCTCCCTGGCCAGGGATCGAACTAGTGCTGAAGCAGCTGCAGGGAGCTTCATTGTGCCGTGCTTTAACCCATTGTGCCACCAGTGAGGGCCCTTTCTGGATCTTTTAAAATTAGTGTTTTGGGGGGAAACAAGCCATGCCCCTGAGGAAATTCTGGTTCCCTTCTCCCTAATCTAGTTGATGCCTTTTACATTGTTTTAAATGTTAGACCATTTCCAGAAATGATTTTTTTTCGTTGATATATTCAGTGGTTGTATTTTCATCAGTGATCTTTTAGAGAAAGAGAACATTTGTGAAAACTAGAAAAATTTATTTTTGCCTTTGTGGTTTCTTATTGTTTCTGCTAGACTTTCTCATTTTTTGCTTCCATTAGGTACTTTGAAGGTAGATGTTTTAACTTCAAAATAGGTTTTTAAAGTGGATTTTATAACTGGAGTTGACATTTTCAGAGCAGTAAACCTATATTTGAACTAAACAAACTGTTTGTTATTTCAGAAACAAATAAGAGTACAAGAAGCTAAAATAATAGAAGAGAAAGCAGCCAAGATCAAAGAATGGGTGACAGCTAAGTTAAACGAGGTATTTATTGCTCTATTTTGTCTTTTCCTTAAACTTTTACTTGTCTTGAATAGATAAATTATCGGAATATGTGATCATGTGAGCAAAACCAAATTTTGGTTAGTTGGTCATGCTGCTGTCTTTTAGTAAGTGTGAAGTGATGTTCATCTTAATGTCCAGTGTATCTCTGAAATTAAGTTCTTTTTTTAAAGATTTATTTATTTTCTACCCAAAAGACACAAAAACACTGATTGAAAAAGATACTTGTACCCCCATGTTTATTGCTGCTTTATTTACAATTGGAAAAACATGGAAGCAGCCCAAATGCCCAAAAGTAGATGACTGGATTAGAAAGATGTGGTACATATATACAATGGAATATTACTCAGCAACCAAAAAAGAGAAACACATGTCTTTTGCAGCAACTTGGATGGAGCTGGAAAAGATCATGCTTAGTGAGATAAGCCAGAAAGAGAAAGAAAAATACCGGATGGTTTCACTCATAGCAGGAGTATAATGGACCAGGCGAGAAAATAACAAAAATAATGAACAACCATAGACCAGAGACATTCTGTGGGGGTGGAGTGGGGAATGGGATCAAAAACGGGGGGGTGGGAGGGAGGGAAATGCACGGGACTAGGGTGGTGGCACAGGGGTGATTTGGTGATGGGAAACCCGTGGGGATTACAATGGAGATGAAAAAAAAAATGTGCAAAATGATGTAAAAATAAACTTTAAAAAAAAAAAGATTTATTTATTTTGTGCATACAAAACTGGGGTACAGGCCAGAAGCTCAGGGGCGGTGAGAGGCTTCACCAGAGACAGAGTGGGGAGCAGAACAGGCAGATCGATGAAGTACACTGCTGAGGGGAGCAGCGGGCGGGTCAGGAGAGGTCTGCCGCGCCATGTGGTCACCTCTGGGACAGGCGTGAATCGAACTCTTGCGGAAGTGGCTTTAGCTTCTCAGTGCTGTGCTTTAACCTGCTACGCCACCAGGGAGGGCCTGAAATTAAGTTTTAATACACTTGTAATCCATGTAAATAACTTCATTTTAATTAGTTAATTTTGGTTCTAATTAGTTTTAAATAATTATAGAACTTGTGTGTACATTTCATAAAATTAATGTATTCACTATTTAAGAAGTTACATATTACGTAATTTATAGGACAAATTAAATGTTAAAATAATTTAATTTTATAGGAGATAAGGCATAGGGAGTAAAAACATTTGAAAATTTTAGTTTTAGAAAAGTGAATATTGAGGCCATAAAATCTAAGGTCATAATCTGTACTCTAGATTCATTCAATACTAGCTTATGCTTTTGTTATGTGTAATTTTTGTTTATGTGTAATTAAGTGATAATATTTCCTTTCATAATCTGCTAAATAAAAGAATAACATTGTGCTTTTCAGCTGGAATTGGAGAAGAAAAACCTTCGCTTGATCAACCAAAAACAAACTGAAGAGATAAGAGCGATACAGGCAAAGCTACAAGGTAGAAGTACTTTGGCTAAACTGACTTGCTTGAATGTATTTAACAGTTTTACTAATGAGCACTATTAGTGTAACTGGTACAACTAAGGAACTGAATTTTACATTATATTAAATCTGAATTGAAAATTAAAATTGCCACGTTATATTAGACAGTAACAAATAATCAAAGGCAGTAATAATAGTTTGAACATTTAATTTATAAATCAGTTGTGTTATTTTCCATTTTGTATGTTTCAGTGGTCACCACTGAAACGCTTATGGCCAGAGTGCTGCGAACAGAAATTTTCATATATATAAACTGTTTTCACTTTCCAATCTTAGGGTTACTTTTCTTTTTTCCCAATTTCAGTGCTAAGGGTGGAGTGTAGTTAAAGATAGACATTTACTCAAGATCCTGTTCTGTTGATAGTCACCTTGTATACACTGAGCTGAAGGACTCAGGACAAAGCATGGGCGAAGGGGCCGACCTTCTGTGCATTCTCTGGGTGTCCCACCCTCCCTCCCAAGCACCTCTATGAGTGCACCAACCTTAAAGCCCTCTGAACCTCATACTTTTTGGTTTTTGGAGGCTTAACTGCATGATTGATTAATCTATTGACCACTGGTGATTAATTTGACTTCCTCTTCCCCTTTCCCTGCTGACCCCACGGGTCAGAGGTTGGAGATAAAAGGTGAAACTGGAAGTTCCAATCCTTTAATTGCTTATTTTCTTCCCAGCCACCCCCTATCCTGATGCTATCTAAGTGATTCCAGAAATTAACTCATTAATATAAACTCTGACGTGGTGGAAACAGCTTGTTATGAAAACAAAAGATATCTTTATTGCTTTTATAACTTAGGAAATCCCAAGGTTTTTTCTTTTTAGCAGCTCCTTGCAGGAACCTTGGATAAAGACCAAAAAATATGTTTCTTGTATTACACAATTCCTTCATCTATGTAATGGCAAATAATTACATCCATCATTAATCCAGAATTCCATACTTAGAATTAAAGTTTCTAGTCTTTGTAGCATTCATCTGCATTGAAATAGGTTGGCTGGAATAAACCCAGTCTCTGAATGCTGTTTTTTTACCTTCCCTGATACCCTTAGCTTGCAGTTCTACACTTGATCTTAGCCAAAAGGCTGAGAAGCGATAGCTTGCAGTTCTAACCCTCATTGACAACCTCTCCAATCTTGATCCCTGGAAACTATACTTGGAGTAGAGAAAAAGAGATGTGATGTGTTTATATAGCATAGTACTTTAAAAATATGTGCATATGTGTGATTATTAGAATCATTGTGTGTGAAGTAGTTCTGTTCAGATATGATCAACATGATAATACTGAACGACTCATCTAAAGAAATACACATATAAAGATATTTTACTTTCCTCAGTTACCAGTTGCTAATTAACCTAACCTTCTGGTGCATTCCCAGAGTTAAGAATTTAATTTCCTTGGAAACTTCTTAGTATCACTGCCATGTTTCTTAGTATTGCCATTTTTTTTTCCTCTTACAAGCAGCAAGTTCTAGAAGATGAATCAAACCCATCTGAATGTAGGTGTTTACACAGTCACTGCACTCACTAGAATCTGACTCCTCCTTATAATTTGATTTTTTTGTTTTTGTTTGAGAACTCTCTTTAAAGGAGCTAGACATTTTTCTCTCTGCAGTTAAAAACTATGTTGCACATTTAAATGTTGGCATGTTTAAAATGCTAGAAATTAAGGATTCCATGTTTTATAGGTAAAGATGAACTTAAGACTTCTGGTATAAGGGATGTTTTGCCCAAGTTTTCTTATGCGTTTGCTCCATCTTTAACAAACTAATAAAAAACTCAGATCTTGATGGTGATGGCCCGTCTTGCAGAGGCTCCAGGAAAGAAGGTCTCAGCTGCCTCCACACTGAAGCTTCCAGAAGGCCAGCGCCTGAGCAGTCTAACCTTTGGGTGCTTTTCCTCCCGAGCAAGGAGTCCTCAAGTAGTAAAATCTGAGGAAGCGAGCAAGATAACATCTAAAGAACTTGAGTTCCCTGAAGGAAAAGATGTTGAAGGTATTTACTGCCTAGAGGAATTTACTTTGACGTTTTTTTAAAAAAGGAAAAATCGTTTGCTAAGTTAATCCAAAGACAGCTTCATTTCCCTTATTTTGTTCTTGACAGCTTGATGTTTAATGAGAATTTTTTTTTGAAGATTTATTTATCTGTGCATACAGAACTGGGGTACAGGCCAAAGGTGCAGGGGCGGTGAGAGGCTTCACCAGAGACAGCGAGGAGCAGAACAGGCCAACTGAGAAGTATACTGCTGAGGGGAGGAGCAGGCGGGTCAGGAGAAGTCTGCCATGCCATATGGTCACCTCATGTGGAGGTGGCTTTAGCTTCTTAGTGCTGTGCTTTACCCGCTGTGCCACCATGGGGGACAAAGGGGGGGCATTTAATGAGAATATTTAAAAAGAGCAATACTGTTTTGAAATAGTGTCTAATTTTGTGTTTCTCTTTATCTTGTGTGTTTTTTGATAGTCTTTATCAGTGTCTTGGAGAAAACTGACTTTTTTCTGTAGTACATTCCCCAGTGAGATTTAAATTTGAAGTTGTTTCATTTGTGTCTACCAGGTGTTTGTTTTAGCTGAGTTTCAGAGTAGAACTATGACTCTTCCAGTCATTACTTACTAGAGATATTAAAACGCTAGTATCCAATGTGATAATGTGTAAGTCATCCACATTGTACACTTACAAAGAAAAGAACACCAAAGTAATAAATTAGTAACAGTTTTGACTTTCCCCTTATTGTTTCAGAGAGGAAAATTATACCTAGCTGTTTAAACCCTGGACCTGTATGCAGACTCCTATCCATTTTTTGGTGTTAAGACACCTCTAAATTATGCTTGGTTGTCGAACCTTCAGTCTACATTTTTAGGTTATGGTCATGAAGCCAGTGGTAAAACAAAATTCTACAAATTTTGTTATAAATGAAAGTAAACCGTATCTAAAGACATTTTTAAAGCATGTTATTCTTATTATGAAAACATATTTTGAAGGGATTAAACCAAAAGTGAAGCGAGGACAGTGAGGAGAGCTTTCTCTGTTTATACTTCCTTCATGAAGTGGTTTGGCATATGTCAAGTGTTGAAGCTTGGGACCAAAGTTTAGTTTTGAGCCGCTTTATACTTACCGTGTTTAAATTTACCTACTATAATTTTGCAATTTAATTGAAATAGGGTTGCCATTTTCTTTGTTTCTAAAATATAATTAATGGTGCTTCTTGGCAGTGACTTTCTTTGACAGAGAGAGTTGCCCTCTCTCTGACGCACATTTTGCTTCTTTTATTTTCTCTCCATAGACTATTGTCAGTTTTAAGTCCAAAATGTTTCTTTTTTTTTAAAGATTTATTTACGCATACAGAACTGGGGTACAAGCCACAGGTGTAAGGCTGGTGAGAGATAGAGTGTCTTCACCAGAGACAGAGTGGGGAGCAGCACAGGCAGATTGACGAGTTACACTGCTGAGGGGAGCAGCAGGCGGGCCAGAAGAGGTCTGCGGCGCCGTGTGGGTCACGTCTGGGGCGGGGGATCAAACTCACGCTGAGGTGGCTGCAGCCAGTTTGCAGTGCTGCGTCCTAACCCGTTGCACCACCAGGAAGGGCTCCCAGTATGTTTCTTTTAAAAAACAGTTTAATGTTGATACTATTCTATTAAATTGTTAGGTAGGCCTCTATGTTTCATATAAAGTTTTTAATTTCCAAACTTAGATTTAAAAAAGAAATAGAATCTAAAAAGACTCAGATAATTTAACTTTGTTCTTTTTAAAATTTCATTTTCCACAATGTGGTACATAAAGCTCAATGTTCAGAAAGATTGTTGTTAAAGGCAACTTGTCAATATGATGTATGCTTTTGTAGAAATGGAAATTCCAGAAAAATCTGCTGATAACCAAATGCAAGAAAACAACCGAGGTCAGAGGACATTGCCTCAAAACCCTGGTGTTTCAGAACAGAATCAGAATGGGAGAACAAGCTTTCTAACGGACGGTGGCATATCCCAGAATTCTGGGGCTCCAGCAAGTGACTGGAGTTCTGATGAGGAAGATGGGGGTAAAGGAAGAGCCAAGTCTAGGTATACATCTACCCTCTCCAGTCACACATCGGAGGAAGGGGTCCAGGACAGCCGAATGGGCAGTGACACTTACTTGACTGCATCTGATGACAGCAGTTCTATATTTGAAGAAGAGACTTTTGGCATCAAGAAGCCAGAACACAAGAAGCTTTATTCCTGGCAGCAGGAGGCACAATGGAAAGCTCATAACAGTTCTCTTGCAAAGGGAAACTCAGAATCAAGTAAAAAAAAGCGTGATAGTTCCTCAGATGAACTGAATAAAAGGTTTCAGTCTCAGAGACTGGATTATTCATCTTCCTCGAGTGAGGCCAACACCCCAAGCCCTATTTTAACCCCAGCTTTGATGCCAAAGCATCCCAACTCTCTCCCTGGAAAAGGAACAGCTTTGGGACCTTCATCAAACCTGCCACCCCCAAAGTTAAGGATTCCAAATGTTTTCAGCATAAGTGTTGCACTAGCCAGACGGCACTTGAGCCAGCCACAGTTAAGTTCCGATAGGATGTTTGGCACAAACAGAAATGCCATAAGTATGATCCGGCCACTGAGACCTCAGGAAACAGACCTCGATCTTGTTGATGGCAATGGCACAGACATTTCAGAAAGTATGGACACCGGTTGTGACGACGGCCTATCTTCCTATGACTCCCTGGAGTCCCCATGTTCAGATGACCAGGCAGGCTGCAGCAAACCTCCTACTCCTCCCCTGCACCGTTTCCCCTCTTGGGTAAATCGCATTGCTGTCTACAACACACACTTGCTGGTTTTTTTCTCAAAGCTCACTCTGAGGGTTATCTTTACTGGTATCCCTGTTTCTTTCTAAATCTAGCTCTGTTCTGACAATTCCCACCTTTCTAAATTCCCCTTCTCTTTCCTAAGTTCCGAATCCACTGAGAAATACACAAGGATAAGACAGAAAGGAGATCAAATGGTTACCTGTACCATTAAAACAGGTAATAGAGAATTTGTAGGCACTTGAACTTTCCATCGTTGCATCTTGGAACTAGCTGGTTTTATTTGTCCAGACCCAGGCAGCAATGGAGGAACTTAGGCTTCCTCCATGAGGGCCTGCCCCTCTAGAACTTGCAGCCTGGGGAGAGAACAGATGGTTATTTCCTGCAGGCAGCCACTTCCCAAGAGAAAGTCTGTGAGAGGAAGGCTCTAGGCTTTGCATGTCCTAATTCTCTGGAAATCCTGATATAATAAAAGAAGCAAAATTTCAACTCCTCACTGCCCAAAGGCAACATAATGGAATTCCAGAGATCCAAGTGCCAGTAATGGTCATTTACTTGGTAGTAGCCAGCATTTAGTAATAAACTGCAGTGGCATGAAGCCACTCCTTAACCAGGAGGCGGGGAAAGCGAATGGGTGGCTGACATCAGGGCTGTTCGATTATAGGCGCCCCTAAGGAAGGACACTTTCCCATCAGATGGGAAAGTGGAATTCCCCTGTTTAATTTTTTTGATTGACTTTTGGACCAGGGCATTTAACTCTTATTGGTCACTAGTTTTTGAGCTTCATCTTTTACTTGGTTGGCTTTAAGAGAAATTTAAATTCACTCTTAATGAGCTTATAAACCATTGGATTTAACAACAACAAAAACATCTTCTTGTGTACCTGGGCTACACTGACATTTCTTCCATTGAAATAATGACCATTAATGTAGTAACCTATTAATTCTTAGGTATATCTGTATCACTAGATTAGAAAGAAACCATTATATTTGAAAGAAAGTGAAATAATCTGTTTTGTAGATTTAAGTTTTCTTTCACATATTGGCATCATTTAACCTTTGGTCTCCAGAAAATTTTGGGGGTTACAGGATTTTGGGGTTTGGGAGTGATCTGTATTATTATTACTGTTATTATTATTTTGGTGATTTAAAAAAAAATTATTCATACATACAAGAGTACAGGCCAGAGAATGTGGGAGATGAGATGATTCACCAGAGACAGAATAGGGAGCAGAACAGGCAGATTAACTGAAGTCCACTGCTGAGGGGAACAGCGGGCAGGACAGGAGAGGTTTGTCATGCATGTGGGTCACCTCCCTGGCGGGGGACAAACTCGTGCTGCAGTCACTGTGGCTAGCATCACAGCATCGTGCTTTAACCAGCTACACCACCAGGGAGGGCCAGACCAGTGCAATTTTAAGTAAATTAAAGCATTCATGTTTTCCTATTTTAAATATTGACCTTGAGATGTATCTGCTCATGCGAGGCATTTGCTTACAACATTTTATTGGAGTGTCTACATGAAGCTGACTGCAGTTTATTACTAAATGCTGGCTACTACCAAGTAAATGACCGTTACTGGCACTTGGATCTCTGGAATTCCAATTATGTTGCCTTTGAGCAGTGAGGAGTTGAAATTTTGCTTCTTTTATTATATTGGGATTTTCAGAGAATTAGGTTAGACTTTCAGGTTTATTTTATTTGGCAAAGTGTTTTACTACTTGTTCTTCTTTGTTCAACTTGTCTCCTGAAACTATTCAGTCCTGAAAAAGTAGTATTGCTTTTGAGAAACCTTCTGGTAGATTGGCCAGGTGCTGGGGAGGACTGCCTTAGCTGCTCACCACCCACTGTCCCAGACCACTATGTCCAGGTCGTGTCCCAGATTTCAGGGTATGATAGTCTATGCAACAGGAACTTCTGTTCTCCTAAGGGGTGAGCCTGCTAACCTTTCCAGTCTCATTTTAGAGATCTCACTCAGGGAAGAGAAAGCAAAATAACCGCCTATTTTTGGAAGAAGTTAATATTATAAATTCCATCATAATTCTCAAGTTCCTTTATAATTTGACCTCAGGTATTTCTTCTACTTCAGTGATTTCAATGAATATTGAAATAAGAAATGCTTAATGCAACTCTATCTGTGATTTCTGACTTCAGATGTTTCTTTTTTCTCTAGTCGTGTGAATGGTAGAATATTAAAGGTAATATTTATGTGTAGGCATTGAGTATGAGTGGTTTTGACTTTATCTTAAGCCATTCAAGCTTTCTCTTTTTTCCTTTAAACCATGTTCTATATGATGGATTATTAAAGGTGCTGCTTAAGTATAGTCAGTGACTGTGAATAAACTTTCTCTTAATTTTTTTCCTAACTCTTGAAAAGATTTTAAAATACCAAAATTTGGGACCAAAGATAAATAATGGAATGACTAATGGATGGAAAAAATTTCTGCAGTACTATTCACAGTGGCATATTTTAGTTGGCGCTGATGACAGTTTTACAATAATGCTGTACTCAAATGTTAAATGAAGAACAAATGAAAAGCATGTGTATTGAAAATAATCATTTCTTTGCTTTAAATATCCAGTTTAAATCTCTCTTTTACATTAGGAAAGCAGAATTTATGCTGTAGCCAAATCAGGTATTCGAATGTCTGAGGCCTTCAATATGGAGAATGTGAACAAAAGTAAGTGATCTTTTGCATGCTGTGACACTCTTGAACCCAAGGGACATGCTAAGCAAAGCCAGTCACGAAAAAACAAGTATACTGTGTGATTCCACTTTCATGAGGCACCTTACATGGTCAGACTGAGAGAGTGATGGAATGGTGCTTGGGATTGGGAGAGACTGGACAGATGAGTAGTTACCTACTGGTAGAATGTTTCAGATTAGCGAGATAAGAATCTTGCTATAAAAAGCTCTGGAGCTCTGACTCAACAGCAGCAGTTAAGTGAACATACTTGACGATGGCAGATTTCATGTCACATGAAATTTTTAGTACTGTGTAAATGTTTTAGAAAATAATTTTGTGATGCTGTTTCTTTTTTTTCCCTCCCTCTCTCTGAGTTGAGAGCCCCCCATTATGATTTTAAACAAAAGGTTGAAGCAAAGAAATAATAGTTTCAGCTGTCTAAACTAAAAAAATCAGTCTCTGTGTTCCTTTTATTTTTCTCCAGAGTTTAAAATACATTCCTCCTTTTTCTTTCTTCAAGAAATTACTGTAGGAGCAATGTAGGCCCAATTTAAAAAGTAAAACCCAGCAGCTGTCTGAAATAAAAAGAGACATTTCTCTGTGGTTCCTTCTACAGCCCCTCCTTATCCTACCACTAGCCTGCCTGGGATATTCTGTTCCTTCTTATCTCCTATACATGCTGTTCAGGAAACACAGACTAACCTTTCAGTAGGAGGTTCACCGGATGAAGGCTGAAGTCCTGTCAGTAACCGGGCCACTAAAAATTTTGAGAATGTCTCCCCTCGGTGCTGCTCACTGAGTCAGTCGGCAGGGGTTAATCCTCATTTTGCCCAGTCTGAGCGGGATCAGATGCTAGATGAGTAGATGCTATGACCCCTGTTTCCAAAGAGCTTATATTCTAGTTGGGCATGGCATGCACAGGGCAATAATGGACCATGTACCATTCAACCTTCCAGCACTGTAATCCTTAAACTACCTATGAATACATATTAACTCACTCTCTCTCTTTAGGTAGACATTTTCCTATTCCAGATTCCTAAGAGATAAACCTAAGTACTAGTTAGAAAAAAAAAAAATCATTTTGTTTCCTGTTTCAGATTCTGTTGCGATGCTTTCCTATACCTCACCAGGACTTTACACGTCTCTCATCTACAAGAATGTGACAACGCCAGTGTATACGACTTTGAAGGGGGTAACTCATCGTTGTTATTGTTAAACATGTGGCTCTGTTCATGATGGGCCTAGAAAGCTTTTTATTCAAGCTCCAGATTCCATTCTTGACATGTCCCTTTATAGGAAACTTCAGAAATTCACGCTAATACATCATAAAATGGAAATGGAAGCTATGGAGAAGATACTTATTCTTGTCAGAGTGTTGGAAATCTGCTGCTTCTTGTTATGCCCCGGGTGATTGTCCATCCTGTCCATGGCTGCTAATTGTTTTGGGGAAACATGTTCTTAATGATGTGATGAAAACTTCTAGTTCAGAAAGGTCTTTGCTGCCTGCCAAGCTTCCTCTCCTTTGTTTGGAGTATCTAATTGAAATAAGTATTTTTTATTTTTCTTTCATACCCAATATGGTGTTTTCAGGAATCTTTTATAATAGACAAGTTGCCTTGCCAATAAGAGTTTAGGATTTAACAATATGCCGTTCACAATGGCAAGATAGTCACGTGATTTCCTTAAAACTTCTTGTTCCACACTTTTTCTGGAAAAATATCCTGTGTAAAATAAAAGGGGTTACTTAAACAATAGGCACATGGAAGATATTCTTGCCTTTTTTTTTTTTTAGAAAGCGACTCAAATAAGCAGCAGCCCATTCCTGGATGACTCCTCTGGGTCAGAGGAAGAAAGTAGCTCCAGGTCCAGCTCCCGGACATCAGAGTCAGATACACGCAGTCGGAGCAGGCCAGGCAGCCCCAGAGCCTTGAAGCGAGGTGAGTGGAAGCCTTGAGCATACAAATTCCAGTTAATTCTGAATACTTAATAGGAATTTTATCTCCATAATAGAAAAAATAAAAAAAATCAGAGTACTTGCTTCAAACCATGGTGAAAAAAGAATTACTAACACACTATGGAGGGCCCTCCCTTGGTATCACAGCGGGTTAAAGCACAACACTAAGACGCTAAACAGCATGAGTTCAATCCCTGCCCTGGAGGTGACCACATGGTGCAGCAGACTTCTCCTGACCTGCCCGCTGCTCCCCTCAGCAATGTACTTCATCGATCTGCCTCTTCTGCTCCCCACTCTGCCTCTGGTGAATCCTCTCACCACCTCTGCACCGCTGGCCTGTACCCCAGTTCTGTATGCATAAATAAATAAACCTTTAAAAAATTGAAAAAAAACCACTATGGAAATTATGAGGCTTTTCCCTCTGAACTACTTTTAAAATGATGACAAAAATTAAATGTTTTAAAATATGATTGTGCAACTATTAATAAAGATAAGATACATTTTGACTGTATGTCAATATGTTAGTGTACACATTTTAATCCTTCACAAAACCTACATTAGTTGACTATTGCATGCATTTTATATGTGGAAAAATAACTCAGCTTGTAATTGTGTTAGAATATTATATGTCCCTATTAATTTTTTAGGGATTTGTTTGATTGTTATTACCTTTTACTTCTCTGCTTTTCATGACCTAGGCCATGTGAATAAATCCAGATGGGAGGCTCACGATGTAGTGAATGGTTGTATTCCTGGGGAGAACTTGTAGCCGGCATTTTGGTGACCCCGTTATTAAATATTGACTTCATTCATTTCTTTCTTTATCTAGGTGTCTCTCTCTCTTCTGTGGCTTCTGAAAGTGATTATGCAATTCCCCCAGATGCTTACTGCACAGACACAGAGTCCTCACAGCCAGAGCAAAAGCTCCCTAAAACTTGTTCATCTTCCAGTGATAATGGGAAAAATGTAAAGACTGAATCAGATTTAATTTTTGTTAATGAATCTGCTAGATTGAACTTCCAAAAGGAAACTTATTTTTTAAAATATCTTTTTAATTAGGAACCACTGGAAAAATCTGGCTATCTATTAAAAATGAGTGGTAAGGTCAAGACCTGGAAGCGCAGATGGTTTGTTCTTAAAGGTGGTGAATTACTTTACTACAAATCTCCGGTGAGTTGAAAGCTCATGACTAATTTTCTTCCTTGTAGAGCGATGACTTATAAAGCATTTGTTAATTTTACTCATTAGGTAATCACTTTCCTTTTGGTTTTCTTCCTTATAGAGCGATGTAATTAGAAAACCCCAGGGCCATATTGAACTTAGTGCAGCAAGCAGTATTTTAAGAGGCGATAACAAACAAACAGTTCAGGTACTTTCATCCCCCTTACTTTCTGTCTTCTTTTAATCATGCAAAGCTCAGTTATCAGCTATCTAAGCAAATATAGTAGAGTGGATGATTCTGTTTTCTGTTCACTTTGGAATCAGTTTTGATGCCTTAAAAATGTGTGAAACCCCAGGATATACTGGGGTTAAAACTGAAATGTAAGCTAACTTAGTATTGGGAAGCTCTCTTCTACAGTTTCTATACCCTTTATACCTTTACACTGTACTTCGCTTATACTTAATCTCCCTGCTAGTCACAGTTGTCAAACTGTTAAGCTACTTTAGATAGGGTTCCCTGATAAATTCCAAGAGAGATTGCAATTGTTTAATGTACTGTTAAATTTGGAAATGTTTGCTTTTTAATACAGAACCAAAAAAATGGCGGTTCTTCTATGAACTTCAGATGTTGTAATACCTACGAGAAAGACATGAGCGAATCGGGGGCTGTCCTAGATCCTACCAAGTCCCACATAGAAGTGGTTGTTGATCATTGTGTACACCTATGAGGTGTCCTAGTGGAAACCTATTAATTAAAAATGCGGGCTGTTGAAATAGTCTGGTAAATACTACCTAAATCAGATCTTTTATTTCTAATAATGCCCTAATAACCAACATTTTCTTATCTTTCTCCTCTTAAGGGTGGAATGCAGCACTAGGAAGCTACATTATCAGTATTTCCAATAAATATTGCTTCAGAACTGCCTACTAAAGCAGGAAGGAGAGTCTGAGACAGCTTTGTCTTGAGCATGGCAGTTAAAGGGCCATTTGTAAACTTCTGAACTATTTGGAAAATTTTAAATGTTAGTGTGAGAGCCTCCCTGGTAGCTCAAGAGGTTCAGTCTCAGCACTATCAAACTGTTGGCAGCTACTGCAGCACGAGTTTGATCCCCAGCCAGGGAGCTGATCCACAGGGCGCAGCAGACCTCTCCTGTCTTGCCTGCTGCTTCCTTAAGTGAGTTTCAGTAGATCTGCTTGTTCTGCTCTCCACTCTGTCTCTGGAGAATCTTCTTACCTCCCTGCACATCTTGCCTACACCCCAGCTCTTGTATGCATTAATAAATAAAATAAATCTTTTTTTAAAGATTTATTTATTTATGCATACAGAACTGGGGTACAGGCCAGAGGTGCAGGGGCAGCGAGAGGCTTCACCAGAGAAAGAGTGGGGAGCAGACAGGCAAGTCGAAGAAGTACACTGCTGAGGGGAGCAGCGGGCGGGTCAGGAGAGGTCTGCCGCGCCATGTGGTCACCTCTGGGTCAGGTGGGAATCGAACTCTTGTGGAAGTGGCTTTAGCTTCTTATTGCTGTGCTTTAACCCACTGCGTCACCAAGGAGGGCCCAATAAATAAAATAAATCTTAAAAAATAATAAAATAAAATGTTAGTTTGAGACTGAAAAATTGTGAGTTTATAATCTGATCATGTTAGTGTCAAGAATTTCTCATATACAGATCCTTTTTATCATTGATTTCTTCATTTCTATAACAAGTAATTCCACAGTGCTTAAAAAAATGTGTTATTTTTTACAGTCTGTAGTCTTTGTACTCCTTTCAGCAATCAGGGTTCTGTAAGGGAGAAGAAGAAAAATCATGATCCATATATATAAAGTAAGCTGAAGTAAAAAAAAAACACTTATTTCAACAATACTAATTACTGCATTTTTCACAAAGCTATTAAAATATTATATATTTTTATTGTCATTTCTTAACCTAGAATTCAAGTTTATTTCTGTGATAAGTAGTAATGTTTGAAGAATGAACGAAGAAATAATCCTACAAATCTCCAGGGTTTCCTCTCCTATTTCTTTCTCATTCCATTCTAGTTGACCACTGAAAAACACACATACTATCTGACCGCAGATTCTCCCAATATCTTGGAGGAATGGATGAAAGTATTACAGAATGTTCTTCGAGTACAAGCTGCCAACCCTCTTTTCCTGCAGCCTGAGGGTAAACCAACTGTAAAGGGATTGCTCACCAAGGTAGGAAGTTTGGGTATAGAGCAGTGTCTCAGGCCACACTCAGGGTTCACTTTCACACACTGATGAAAAGTGGGTGTCAGAGAATATAGCTATTAAGCATTTATGTTATACTGAGTGGGGAAGGGTGTTTTCAGTATGATACCAAAGACAAAACCATAAAGACGAAAAATGGCATGTGTAACTACTGTACAGAAATATGGAAGTGTGCTTACTTTAAAAAATTCTTTTAAGTAAAAAGTAGTTGAAATTTGTGAACCCAGCTTTTCTAAATAGTTCATGAAGGATAAGTATTATGGGGTGGGAACATAGAATACAATGGCAGAGAAGCAGAGCTAGCAAAGGTAAGAAATACAAACTATCAATAAACATAGGGGAAATATTTTACTGTCATTGAAAATTTTCGTTAGAGCACAAGTTGAAATAATAAATGTTTTTAAAAATATTGTCAAAGGGAGACCATTTTTTAAAGTGATGAAACATGTTAGTGGTACAGATTGTGAAATGTGGGAACATTATTCCAGAAGGCAGTTTGGCAACGTTTTGACCAAAGTGTTTACTCAGTAAATATGTTTGGATGGACAAATGAATGAATGAATGTTAAGTATTTAGAAACATACATGCACACCCTTACATTCAGCAGTCTCTCTGCAAGAAAGTTATACTTAGGAAATGGTCTTAGCTTGTAAAAGATTTAAGTATAAGGAAATTCATAAGAGTATGATTTATTTTTTTCCTATATAAGAAATGATATTTTATTAATAAAATGAAGTAAAGATCTTAAAGGTAGAGTTTGATGAGTTTTGACAGTATCTCCATTAAGATGTAAAACACTTCCATTGGCCCAGAAAGATTATTTGCATGGCATAGATTATAATAAAGAAAATTTGAGATCAACTTAGATGTAGTAATGTAAGGGATAACTGAAGTAAATGTTTACAGTCAGCCATTTTAATGTTGTAAAAGAATATTTAATGTTACAGAAAAGTATGATGGTGTGCTATGATAAAATAAGTAGAGTGCAATATTATGTTTCTCATATTTGTTTTACATATTCTAGAAAAATGTCTTGAATGGGAAGTGTGGCAAGGTATATTGGTTATCTCTAGGTGATTTTAGTTTATTCTTGCATCAGTCTATTTTCTCACTTTTTTAAGAATAGGAATTGATTAATGTGAAAATAAGTATGATTTAAAAAAACTAAAATCCTGTTTGTCACATTTGAAAAAAGACAGTAAAATATTGGTGCAAAAATATTGCACATAAAAAACCTTTGCATAATCACTTGTGTTTTGTGTATGTAAGAAGTAAAAATTTAGATATAAATGAACCCGCCTACTTCTCATCCTGTTCTAGTTGACTACTGAAAAATATACATTCTATCTAATTGCAGTAACTTAGATTTAATATTGCCACCCTGCAACTTATACTTGTTCAATAATAATTATGAAAATTGACCAGCTATACCAAAAGTAAGAAAAATATTCACAAATTCAATCAACAAAGAGATGGATAATGCTTTTTCCAAAATATTGTATTACCATGAAAATGTTCCTTTGGCTTCATGGGTTGGAGAACTGCCTGGCATTGTGCAAATAAATATTTTCCAATGAATTTTTCTCTTACTTTTGGTATAGCTGTTCAGTTTTCAGAAATATTAATGGTTGTCCTGCTATTTCAGAGATCATATATAGCAAACCCTTACAACGCACTCACCACCGATTCTTTTTTTTTTTTTTAAGATTTATTTATTTATTCATACAGAACTGGGGTACAGGCCAGAGATGCGGAGGGTGAGAGGATTCACCAGGGACAGAGTGGGGAGCAGTACAGACAGATCGATGAAGTGCACTGCTGAGGGGAACAGCGGGCCGGTCAGGAGAGGTCTGCCACACCATGTGGATCTCCTCCGGGCCAGGCAGGATCGAACTCATGCAGAGTTGGCTTAAGCTTCTTAGTGCAGTGCTTTAACCTGCTGCACCACCAGGTCCAACCACCGGATTCTTTAAAAGCAATTTTGTTGAATGGATTTGTTAAAGCATAGGGCCAACTTAATCACAGACCTTGGAACAAGAGTTGTTTCGTGATCACATGCTTATTCCAGATTGTGGAAGAAGGAAGAGGGAACTGATACAGTCCAAGCCAGAAGGATGAAGTCACCCATTGTTCTAAACAAGGTCAAAGGGGGCCTTGCCTGGTGGTACAGCAAGTTGAAAAGGCAGCACGAGGAGGCTAGTCAAAGCTACTTCAGAACAAGTTCACTTCCCAGCCACAGAGGTGACCGACATGGCAGGCTTCTCCTGTATTGCCTGCTGCTCCCCTCAGCATTGTATTTCATCAATCTGCCTGTTCTGTTCCCCACTCTGTCTCTGGTGAATCATCTCACCACCGCTGCACCTCTGGCCTACACCCCATTTCTAAAAAAAGAAAAAAAAAACAACTCAAAGAATAGAAGCAGTGTAAGGTGTAAGGGAGAGAAGAGGCAATGAGGAGGGGGGATCAGAGAGTAGAATGCATGTTTCAGATGAGAAGCTGTTCCCAGTAAGGAAAGGACTGCACTCTGGTTAGGCGATGGCTAGTAAAAATGGAGGACGAGCAGAGGTTAGTGGAAATGCAGAACAGCAAAGAACTGTGAAGGCTATCAAGAGGCAGTGCAGATCAGCTTCCCAGGCCCAACAAGCAACATTGCCTGGATGAGAGTCATGGCTCTGACACTTGCTACTTATGTGACCTCGAGTAAGTAGTACTCAGGCTTTGGGCCTCAGTGTCCCCGTCTGTGGAGATGACAGTGCCGACTTCACAGGGTGTTGGGAGAGTAATTGAATTACTTAAGCATTCAACAGGGCATAGAACAGCGCCCTGCACATCATAAGCACTCAGAGAATGAGAGCTGCTGTTATGGCAAGAGCTACACCTGGAGATTGAGGTCAGCAGGCAGGTGGCAGGATCTGCAGTGACGAACACCAGGGGACGGGGATGTAAGAGCAAGAAGAGCATGGGAACATATTTTTGGGTTGGACCCAAGCTGATCGGGATTTGCTGTGTGTGTTCAAAAGTTTCAAACAGCTGGTATGAAGTGCTTTGGTTATAGATGCAAGATAAAAAAAATTATTTCAGTTATTTAGTTTGCCAAAGATTTGAGGCTTGAGATTGCCTTTCAGTGTTTCAGAATGTTGGAGTTATAAGAAATCCTGATATAATCAGATTTGCATATAATAGACTGTGTTTTTAAAACAGCTTCTTTAGTGAATTGGCCAAGGTCCTTGTTAATTTGTGGTTCTTCAAAGGCACACATTGTTTTATTTTATAGATAAATCATTTCAAAAGTATACTTTCATGCCAAATGCATTATATCCCAGTTTTGATGAAACTCCTTTCTGGCATCCGTTTAAAAGAAGGAGGAGGGAAAAAAAAAACAAAACCCTGCATAACACAAACTATTTAAAACTTCTAGGGTATTTGTCTGTAAATGTATGTTTCTAAATTTAATTAAACTGAAACATAACTTGCCAAATGAGCCATATTTTGTTTTTTGCAAAGCAGCATTCTCAATCCATCAAACTGTTAGGTGGGGGAGTTATTTGCTTTGAAGGCCCTAAGGCTGCATTTGTGGTTTTCAATGAAACATATGTTTTACTTCCCCTAATGTCCTAATGAGGGAGGAAATATTTATTGAGTAGCTATTATTGTCCTGTATTGACATTTTCTCCCTTGACCATCATATCCCAACCCATCAGTAGCCCCCTCTACCAGGAGACAGTAAGAGGTTAAGTCAGTTGCCTGAAAACATCCACCTAGTGTATGATAGGCCTGGAATTTAAACCCTTGGTGCACTCAACCTCAAAGTTCAGGACTTTCCATCTTTTTCTTAAAGTCCAAGTCTCTTGCAGACACTTGCCTACTATAAAACCTGTCATGGAAATATTTATATTCTTCTAAGTGAATTGCTATCAGAACAGTCCATTTAGATACAAGTCATTATAAGGGCCCTGCAAACTGCCCCCTCTACATCCCAGCTCACCCACAGCCCTTCCCAGGTACCTTCTCCCCACCCTCACTCAGTTCCATCCCCACTGGCTCACACTGCCTCGGTGTCTTGGCGTTGCACTTCCTTTGCCTGGGATGTTCTCTCAGAGCACTGCATGTCTCATTGCCTCATCCAGGCTTTCCCCCATGGCAGTGAGACCTTGTTTTAAATTGTCTCTCACCTCCCCTTCCCCCAAACATCCTTTTCCTTTCCTGCTTTATTTTTCTCCTTAGTACTTACCACCATGGGGAGCTATGACAACAGAATGTTGGACTTCAGTTTTACAGCCAAAGGTCTTGGTGGTAGGCCTGTCCGGATTGAAGCCCACCCTAACTAGTACGGGAGAGGGTCGAAGCCCAAGGCAAAAGTTGGCAGGGCGTCCCCATAAGTGGGGTTCTAGAACACAGTCAGGTCTGGGGAAATAGGGCTTATGTTACATCTACCCAATGGTGGGGTTGGGATTTTTGGTGTTTTTCTGACCTCGAGGAGGTAACTGGGGCTGTCAGGGAAAGATCTTCATGTCTGTACCTGGGCAGGTCTGAGATTAGGAGAAGCTCATAGTCAGGATCTTTATGAAACCACCAAATAATAATAAACCTGTAACAATAAACCTGAAATTTTGTTAAGTGTCTCCCATAAGAGTATATAAATAACAGAAAGTGGGTGCTCTGGGAGTGTGTGCACATCAGAGGTGTGAACCTACGCTCAGAGTCATACAGAGACTCTGAGTTGCAAGTGCTCAACCAGTGTTGCCTCAAAAAAAAATTAAAAATATATATAAATATAAACTTACTGTTCTTGATGAGAACACTATAACACACTGCTCCTTTACTTGTTTCTTCACAAGGCTGTGAACTCTTTGAGAAAGGAGACTGTGTTTTATTCATATCTGTATCCCCAAAAATTTAGGTGAAGTTCTCACTATACAAAGCAAGAGCTGCATTTAAATCCTGTTCAGTCACTTAATATAGTGACTGACATGTCACAGAACCCCACAGGTCCTCAAGCTGTAACAATAACTTTTCATATTTGTTTATTGTTGTGTTTGACTCCGTCTGGAGAGGCACTTAAGGCACTCAGTATATGCTTATTTACAGAGAAGCCATCCCGTATCTTGAATGAGCAGATCTTTTACATTTGAGAGATGATTAGAATTCTTTAGGGTTCAGTCTTCTCATTTCTAAGATTAGGCTGTTTAGCCCAGAGAGCCACAGAATTATTGGAATTCAGTGAAATATAGAAACTATGAGATACTGACTTGTGAAGCTGGTATTTTCCTTTTATCATCTTTGAGTCATGATTCTTCACTTCAAGTAAACATCAACAGGATGTTGAATGGTGCATCCAAGTAACGAATCCATGATGCTAATATAATAGGTTAATCTTAAGCAGCTTTTGGATCGCCTTGTTGGAATGTACCCCTTGAGCAAACTGGGTTGCATTCCTGTACAACCTCAAAACGTGTGTAAGCTATATTACTGAGTAGGAAAGTCTGAGCTACAATTGTAATTCCTTGAAATATGATTGCAGGTAAAACATGGTTACTCCAAAAGAGTCTGGTGTACACTGATAGGAAAAACATTGTATTATTTTCGTGGTCAAGAAGATAAGGTATGTATGTATTTTTAATATGTTAATTAGAGGAATTTTTTTGTTTGTTACAGTGTAAAGTTTTCCTTCTTACTCTTCTGTTCCTAGCTAACACTAGAATTTTTGATAATGTTGAAATGTTACATAAACTTCACTACTAAGGTAATAATAAACCTACAAAGGTCTTCATTCTCTTTAAATTATAGGCCTAAGCAACTTGAATTCTAGATTCCGATTTTAAGATATCTAAGAGAAAAGTCTTCTACTTTACTCCCAACTATCAGTTTCTCATATTTTCCCAGGAATTGACAGACTAAAAAAGGTTGAGTGAAGGGAATCAAAAGAGGAAAAAGAATCCAGGCCTGACCTGGCCCTTGAACCCCTAGATATCACCTAACTATCCATTTATCTACCTATCTGTATCCCATCACCTCATTTTATTACATATTTAAAAATTTTTTGGTGAGAAGTTAAAGTTCAGACTAGAGACAATTATGACTTAGTGGTGGCAATGAAGGTGTGAGAAATGACTGGATGTGAGGTGTAATCTGAAAGTCTTGCTGTCAGAATTTTATTGACTAAAAAGCTACAGAATATGACCGAAAATGGTTAGTGATGATGCCAAGGTTTTTGGCCTGAGCAAGTGGGAAGTTGAGGACAACTGAGATGAAGAGGCGTAGGCAGAGCAGGTAATGTAGAAGGACTTCCCTAGTGCAGTCTGGGTGCGTGGAGGAAGAGGCCCTCCCTGGTGGCGCAGCGGGTTAAAGCACAGTACTGGGAAGCTCACCACAGCTGCGCCTCGCTCACTTGCTGCTCCCCTCAGCAGTGTATTTCGTCAGTGTGTCTGTTCTGCTCTCCACTCTGTCTCGTGAATCCTCTCACTGTCCCTGCACCTCTGACCTGTACCCCAGTTCTGTATGCATAAATAAAATAAAATAAAATAAGATGGAGGTAGAGGTAGGGATTCTGGAATTACAAATTTGGGAGAGGCAACATGTGGTGGGATTAAAGTCATGAGCTTGGATGAAGTTATCAGGGAGTGATGGGAAGCGTAGAAGTGCCGGGGTCTGGACCCCAGCGTGCACACGTGTGAGGTACAATGTCCTTAGACTCAAAATAAACTTTTCTCAGACGTAATTGCAAACCTGACTGACTATTTTAGAAACTGTAAGTCTGAAGCAGATAGTATATTTTCTTGGAATAAGTGTACTTATTTGAATCAAAAGTTTTAATATAAAAAAGGTAAATGTTCAACACAACAAATACAATTGCTTTTGTCAATAAAGGAGTAAGTAGAAGGTAAAATTTCATGTAGGTGGATTTCAGACAGTTTTTCTTACCTAACATGAAATATTGCATTGTTTGGTGATATAGTTGCTTTTGTTAACAAATAACCTCAGAACACATCTCACTTAGTGGGTTCTGAGGTGATAGTTAATGACACTTCTTCACACCAACTGTCTAACTTTGCTACTTCTTCTGTGAATAGCATTTAGACTATGACATCATGTCTCTTTGATTCAGCAACTTAATCAAATAATTCTGTGAGGGAAAATGTCAGATGACTGTTTTGCGAATGACCTAGTTGCTGGACCAGGTATAGCTTCATGTTTTTTTTCCACAGTGTGGCATATAAATGGTGTACTTGCAATTTTCCTTTTACAGTATAATTGGGAGTTTGTGTTGAGGCTCCTAGTTCCTAACAATGTAGATAATCTGATTGCTTTTGGACAATCACTTTTTTAAATTTTTACTTTATAAAGTATACTATACTTTATATATAGTATAAATTTTTAAAAATTATACTTTATAAAGTATATTATACTATACTATACTTTATAAAGTATACAAAAAGTGTATAAAGTACACTTTTATATAAGAATGAAGAGGACTGAAATGGTTTGGTAGGAAAAGATTTACAAAGTACCTTCCTCACAATTCCTAACACTTGCTTTAGTTTCCTTTAGGTCAGATCAAACTCTGGGAGGCTAAAGTTGATGAGGTTGACAGGTCCTGTGATTCAGATGAAGATTATGAAGCCAGTGGGCGAAGTCTCCTGTCCACACATTATACCATCGTGATCCACCCCACAGACCAAGGTCCAACTTACCTGCTAATTGGATCCAAGCATGAAAAGGTACTTAAGTTGATTTAGAATGATTTAGACTGATAATATTACATAGCAATAATTTTCAAATCAGTTTTATGGAAATGAGGGACTTGGCCAGAGACATTCAGCTGTTTTTCCAGAGACTCCTTATATCCCTGGGGAAAGCCTTATGTCATTTTTTTAAAACCCAATTCAGGCCTCAAGCCTGAAATTAGTGCATGAAGGTGGAGGATAAAGAAATCTATGTTCAAAGTGTGGGTCTTTCAGACTGGATATTTTGGGGTGAATCTATAATTTTTGACTTGTCTTTGACAAAATTAAGGGTTTTTTTTTTTTCAAAGTTTTCTACCGTTTATACAAATAGTTTGTTTTTCTCCCCTTAAGTCATCAAAAGCAATATCTTGCTTAACATCTTTGTTAATATGTTTTGATTTTAAGGACACTTGGCTCTATCATCTAACAGTTGCTGCTGGAAGTAACAATGTAAATGTTGGATCTGAATTTGAACAACTTGTGAGCAAACTGCTGAATATTGAAGGGGAACCTTGTAAGTTTATAGCATATAAAGTTTGATGGCATATAGAAAGGATCCAAACCCCTTTATTTTAATGGTAGTTCCATTTTTATGGTCCCTGTTTCCCTGCAATGTACTCACCTTTTCATTGGCTTTGCTTGTTGTGGGCCAGGATTCTCACTGTAATCCTTGGGCTCCAGAGACACCATCTGTCCCCCATATGCACTGTCCTGTATTACCATCTGCCTTTGCTCAAATGATTTCCTCTGCCTAAAATGCTCTTCTGTCCATCTTCATGTTCCCCATAAAATGATGAAATCCTGCCTACCTTAGACGCCCCCAGTCTGCCCACCACATCTTACATCTGGCATATAAGAAGTAATAGATGTTAAAATTGTCTCCCAATGCATCTGCTGCTTATTTCACATAACAACATTTGTTGCTTTGCACTGACATCATTTATTTTCTAACAAAGCTTTCCCCTTTGACAGTTTAGATTACATAACTATAAAGATAACTATAAAGATCACCTTTCTTTTTTTTTTGCAGAATAAGAATTTTCTTTTCTTTTCTTTCCTTTTCTTTTTTTTTTTTACAAACATCCAGGAGCCAGAAGACGGTCAGTGGCTCAGGTGAAGGGCAGGGCATGGGCCTATTAGCTTGATTTTGGTCTTAACCACAGATTAAGAATTTAATAAATGTTGAATTTAGGCATAACATCAAGTTTCTCCTTATCTTTCTATCTTATCTCCTCCTACTTTGGCGTCTCATCTCTCTCTTTTTCTCCAGCTCATCCTCACATACCTCCCTACTTATAATCCTCTCCCTACTTAAACCATCAGTGTTTAATACATTGAAGCAACGTGATGGTGCTCAGTAGACTTGTTTCAGTCTGAACAATTAAGACCAAACTCTTCTAGTTTCAATTTATCCAAAAGGGAAACATGAGAATCCTGTACTTTCAGGAACAAAAATTAAATAATGTCACAAAGCTTTTTTGTGAACTTGGGACTTAAAAGTGTGAGTCAAAACAAGCAAAAATGTTTGCCAAGACAAGCAAATTTCTAAAAGGTTAATTTAATGGTAAGGCAAACTGAAGTGGTTCTTTTCATTTTCTCTTCATATTTCATTCTGTTTTTAGCCTCTCAGATATGGAGACACCCAACTTTGTGTCACAGCAAAGAAGGAATCACTTCTCCTCTGACAACACTACCTTCTGAAGCTCTGCAGACAGAAGCTATTAAATTATTTAAGGTAAAATTTTATGTGGAATTTTATATTGTTTACAAATATAACTAAAAATATTTTAGGTTTCAGAATTTCACTCTAGAAAGTTCAAAATGGGATGATGATGAATTATTAAGGTCTACTGAAATAAAATTAGATAAACTTACTTTGTTTTGACTTTTGATTGTTTTGGGTTTTTGGGCCCTTTTTAGGAAAGGATTCCTTTCCCTTTCCCTTTTCAATTTTGGGGTTTTTTATTTTCCCCCTTTTTCCTTGGAGAGTGAGGTAGATGAGTGATCACTGTGTTGCTCTGTTTTTACTCACATTTTAAAATCACCATAATGGAACATTTTAGAAAAATCTCAGAAATCTCCCTGTAGACAATAATATGCAAGCACCCAAAGCAAAGAAAGACCCTTTGCAGATATATTTAAAAGTCTGGATGAAGCGATCAGCTCTCCAATAGAACAGAACCGGCCAGATACTCTGTTTCACTGGCGCGTGAAAGCTCAACAGAGAACTTACCAGCATTCACCTACATACGTGCAGATGATTTTAATGCTGTTTCAATTTCCAAGGCATGCTTTTTGTTTTGGAATATTTCGAATATATTTAAAGCAGAGAGAATATTACACCCAGCTCCACAGTTGTCACCACACAGACAATATTGTGTTCTTGTCAGTTATTTAGCTTGATTTAGTCCCATCTGTTTACTTTTTTTGTTTCCCGTGCTGTGAAGACAAGTCCACAGGACAACCCTGAGGCCCATGTTGAAGAGTTGAAGCTGTGTTATTAAGTGCATTAGCATTTAGGGTTGTTATGTCCTCCGGAAGAACTGACCTCTTTGTCATGTTTAAGTGACCCTTTTTGATCTCTGACAATTCCTTGCTCTGAAATCTATTTTGTTTGATGTTAATGTAGCCAGTCCAGATTTCTTTGGATTCATGTTACCATAATACATTTTTTCCATCCTTTTAGACAAAAACTATTGCTAAGAAGATACTATAATTCATGCAGAATAAATCTAATCATTTATTGCCTTGAGTATATAAATTGTTTTGTGTTTAATTCAGACCTGCCAGCTTTTTATAAATGCAGCAGTTGACTCACCAGCCATTGATTACCACATATCTCTGGCCCAGAGTGCTTTGCAAGTCTGTCTGATGCATCCTGAACTGCAGAATGAAATTTGCTGTCAACTCATTAAACAGACCAGACGGAGACAGCCACAGAATCAACCAGGACCATTACAGGTATGTATTAATACATATACATGCAATTTAAAGTGATGTTATTTGCTTGATTGTAAGAATGACACATTCAGTATAAACTTTTAGAAAAAACAAAAAATGGGAAAAGTGATAGTGACTGTACGTTCCTCGGGCAGGGTCAGTGCTTTCCCCGCTTGCTCCTTTTTAATGTAACAGTTGGTTAAAGTTATAGTTGTTTCATATAAACACATAAGTGAACAAAAACAGAACAGCACCCCTAATCTTTAAGTGTGATGTGAAAAATGACCATCACATCTGCCATGTCAGTGGTAGATAATAGTCTACACAACTGGAGGGAGTATGGGCCTGACCTCGCATGGCACTTTGATGTTTTATGTAGTATTAGTGCTTTAAGCAGATAATGTATATGTGGAAGAGGTAAAAACATAATGGGGTTTTTAAGAAAGACTCTCATCACCCTTTACTATCAACCTCTGTTAATCACCCCTCTGACCTGGATCGCCAGTGCTGTGCAGTGTATAACTATGGTGCTTCTCTTTGCCCAGGGCTGGCAGCTCTTGGCACTCTGTGTTGGGCTCTTCCTGCCCCATCATCCTTTCCTGTGGCTCCTCAGACTTCACCTAAAGAGGAATGCGGATTCCAGGTGTGCAGAAAACTAGCTGAACTGTTCATGTGACATCTGAAAGTCTACAGTAAATCATAAGAATTTAGTATTCTGCCAGTTACATTTGTGAAGAATGTGTGAGATGAATAGTGTACAGGAAAGTTTTGGTTATCATTAATATGGAGCTTGGAAAATATTTCCTTTGTTATGTTAAATTTCGTATAGAAAACTGCATTGAAAGCTTGAAGAACTGACAAAGAATATTTTTAAGTGAAAAGTCTATGCACATTTCAAGTATGAATGACTTAGCATTAGTGGGTGTTCATTCAATAGGAGCAACTATTTTGTTTCCTTAGTTTTCTCTATTACTATTTTTCTCCGCTTTGAGTCCTTTTATGTGGTCTTCCTTTCTTTTATAATTATGTGTATTTGAATTACTTCAGACTTCTTACTCCTTTGAAAGACATTTAAAATTCAACTGTCAGAATGGCTTTCTGACAATGGGACTCAGCAGCCAGCCAAGAATTATCAGGATCATTTTGTCTAAGATGTTCATGTTAGCTTGCTTAAATAGATTCTGGGACTAAAACAAACAAACACAAAGAAAAGCAACCTGGAAGCAGTAGGAAACTGTCCTTCAGTTTATCAGACATTTGGGGGACTGTGATCAAGGTGGTATGATTTCAGTCCAGTCACTGAAGGAAGTGCTCCAGAGAAGGGTGACATTTTAGTGTCTGCCCAGAAGGCACCAGAATACAAATGCATATGGGTGTTATCAATCTACTTTCACAAATGGAATAAAAATTATATCCACAAAGATTTACATTTACGTATTCCAGTGGCTTTGTTTAATGTTTATTTCTAAAGAAATGAATGCTTTAGGGCCCTTCCTGGTAGCACAATAGATTAAAGTACAGCACTGTGAAGCTATCGCAGCTGCTGCAGCACGAGTATGATCGCGGCCAGGGAGGGACCCCCAGGGCGCTGCTCCCCTCAGCAGTGTACTTCGTCAGTCTGCCTGTTCTGCTCCCCACTCTGTCTCTGGTGAAGCCTCTCACTGCCCCTGCACCTCTGGCCTGTACCCCAGTTCTGTATGCACAAATAAATAAATCTTTAAAAAAAAGGAAATGTATGCTTTATTTAGGAAAGGAAAAAGTATATTTTTGTTTGAAGATACTATTTTACCTTGTTAGCATCAAACATTAAACTCCATGTCCTTCAAAATATGACATTCTACATCATGCGTTTCTTACATTATCCTGTAATATCGTTGATAAAATTATTTTCTTTACATTTGTTGATATAATCACTATATATTGGCATTATGATGACTGGTCATTTTAAATTCATTTTGTGATTGTAATAGCACAATAAAGATAAGGGATGCTTTGTGGGGAAGTTTGATACATTCACTGGCAAAAGTATACAGAATTACAGGGGCTTAATATTACTTTGGAAAAGAAAAATAATGGTCAAAATTAGCATAATCCATTGTAATAATAAACACCAAGCAAAGCTTTCTTAATGTTTGCATATATATGTTAGATTGACTTAATTACGGTATTACTAGGCTTTACCTTAAATCTTGTATTATAGGACAGAATTTGGAAAATATGCCATTTACTGCCAGCGATGTGTAGAAAGAACGCAGCAAAATGGAGATCGGGAAGCGAGACCTTCCAGAATGGAAATTCTTTCAACCCTTCTACGAAACCCTTATCATCATTCTTTGCCCTTCAGTATCCCTGTGCACTTCATGAATGGGATATACCAGGTGGGTTAGACTTTCTATCATGATGAAAATACACGTAGTGTAGAATTCTATGTGTCTGCAGCCTCTGCAGAAGAGGGAATTGGATTGTCTACCTCCCTTTTTCAGCAGCTGGTAGTGATAAACATGCAAATATACTAGATTTTCTCTCAGATGTCTGGGTGGGAAAGTTTTGCTAAAGAGGATTCACCTGAAAATCAAGTCCATGTTGACTCAAACAACGTAAGAATGGAATTATACTACCATTATAATTATGACAGAGAAAAACAAAAATACTTTGGTCGAGAAGTGTATCTGCTAGATGAGGAAATACTTATTATCAATGCATGTTGTACAAGTTTATTGTCTTTAAAGTCTCCAAATCTCAGGAATTATCTGGAAAAACTTCTTAGATCTAGACATTTGCCTCAACATACTAGTATGTGCCATAACTAGTAATCAAGTCTTTGCAGACATCAGCCTTTTATCACAGAATTCAGATACTTACTGCATATTAAAGAAACAAACATTATTCATTTAAATGCATTTCTTATTTTCCTCCATTTGCTTAAAATTACATATTGTATTAGAGTTCTTGGTTTGCTTTTAATCACCAGGAATAATATCACTGCAAGATGTTTTTAGCTTTCAAATGATCTTTCTATTTTGAATTCATATGTGTTGAATTTAAGATTTCTGAATTCTTATGGCAAGTAATGACTAAAATGACATTAATTTTCTTCAGTGGAGCTTTGGAAAAACAAAAGTAAAACAGAGACATAAATATGTTCTCATTAATGACACATCAAGTTGGCCCCTTAAATGTAAATTTCACTTGCACATACTTTTTCATTAAGAGAACAACATTATTCTTTCTGTGTAGGTAGTTGGATTTGATGCATCTACCACAGTAGAAGAATTTTTGAATACATTGAACCAGGATACAGGAATGAGGAAGCCAGCACATTCTGGGTTTGCATTGTTTACAGATGATCCTTCGGGCAGAGACTTAGAGCACTGTCTTCAAGGCAACATCAAGGTAAAACCTGGTCTTTTGAAGGAGATAAGATTCAAAAAACAGCAAGGAAGCAGCTCTTCAGTATGTGTGGAAAGTTTAGGCATGTTCAGGAGACACACGCAGTCTAACCTACACAAAAAATAATACATAACTTTGCTGTAGCAATAGAATTCTTACTCTCAATCTGTATGCTTAAATACTCAATAATTAAGGACAAGAATTTATATAGCAGTAATACCCTAAATATTAGTGTATGGGCTGTATCAGGCTGGAGTTATGGAAGTTCTAATAAATTGACTGTCCAATTTACTCATACACTCAATTCTGTTGAACTGTTCAGCTGGGCTATTCTGTTCTATTCAGCTGGACTGAATCCTGTAAGGATCAGATATAGTTTCAGGCAAGGATCAGATATAGTTTCTGCTCACAGTGAGCTTAAAATTTGCTCATGGAAGAACAGCTTTACATTGATAACCTTAAAGTTGAGGTGAAAGTGATAAATGTTTTAAAAGTGCTGTGGATATGCCACAGGGAGAAATTAAGTTTAGCATTGGAAATTAAGAAAGATCTAAACTGGACTTTAAAGAGTGGATAGAAATGGAGCTGTGAAAATAAAGAAGGGATTTCAGACCTAAGGAAAATCATGAGTAAGTACATTTCTGTTGGAAAGAAACATACATATTTAAAATTTAAAAAAAAATTGTTCTTAGGCCTTAGTAAAGTGATCTTACTAAAGTTTTTATCCAGTGATGGCAACAGTTAGAAATACAGAATATAGAACCATAAAGGACCCTAGAGAAATAGCCCATTTATTTTGCAAATGAGAAAATAGAGATCCACTCTACCCTAGCCAGAACTGGGCTTGGATCCTTTCCTCACTTGATGGGGCCTTTGATTGCGCTTGGAAATCAATACCTTGTTACAGAATGCAAGTTTTCCTGTGATTTGGACATTAAAGAATTGGGAAAGAGGAAGGGAAGGATGAGATTGGTAAGTTAGAACACCCGCATGAAACACATGATACTTTCTTCTGACTTCCAGAGCCAAGCTCCACCTGTAGACCAGCCTGGGGGTACTCCATGGACTCCACAGAGTAGCAGTCAAGTTCATACTTAAGTTCTTTAGGGGTGTTGGTTAGTAAATCTCCTTCCTCTCCCACTACCAGCATCCACCTATTCTGCTGCAGACAGAAAAATCTAGACAAATGGCTGTCTTTTTCTCCCCTGCTCCAGGTATATCTTGTAGAGTTCAACAATTCCAGCAGTGAATTTTTGAGACAGACATTCCTAGAGCACTGTTGTTAATAATTAGTCAAAAGATAAGCTAGTGTTTTTGGTTGAGTTAACTGAGTAAATATTAGGGGCTTTAGTGAATAACTGCTTATCACATACCTTTGAAAACTTTTATTTATTATTCTATAAATGACCAGTTTTTTAAAACAAACATTTATTTGGTTCCTGAAGGATTTGTGTTCTTTCCCAAAGAATCCTAGGATTCTAGTTCAGATTTCTTCATTATATATTCAGTTATTATTATCTTTGTAAACCCTGCAGGTAGGAAACAGGTTGCTTCGTCAGTGACTAACTCATAAAAAAATTCCTGGAATCTTCTTGTGTCCAGTCTCATGTAATTCATTAAGATTTCTTTTTGAATCAAAAAATCCATGGCCACAGCCCAATGTGAATGTGTGTCCAAAAAGATAGGAGGACCAAAGAGCGAATTATAATTAAAATCCTTAACAGAGTTGCACAGGAGCTTAAACTAAAAAGCAGCCGCCCAGTTGGTTTGATCGTGTTAATTGAATTTTTCAATCCACAGACATACTTGTGTTCAAAAAATGCTGATTTGTAAAATATTATAAATCTGCTTTCCATTCTCCTTCTAGATCTGTGATATTATTTCTAAATGGGAACAGGCTTCCAAAGAACAGCAGCCTGGGAAATGGGAAGGTACGAGAACTGTTCGTCTAACTTATAAAAACAGGTGTGTAATGCAATATTTCTTGAGTCTGAGCCCTGGACCAGCATCTCCATTCCACAGGATCCTGTTAGTGATGCCAACCGTCAGGCCCCACTTCAGACCTACCAAGCCCATTATAGGATGGGCAGACAGTCATGCCCCACTTCAGACCTACCAAGCCCATTATAGGATGGGCAGACAGTCATGCTCACATCCTGCTCCCAGAATTCCATGCGATACTTTGAAAATTATACTTATGCTTGTTTTTCTATAAACAGTAGTTCTACTTGTGTTGGAAGAAGTCGGTTGACACATGAAAGTTTCATTCTAACTGCAGTCTCTTAATGCCATCAATGACTATACTTTATACATTGTCCAACTATGCGTTAGGACAGAGATTGGGGGGTGGGGGGGGAAGGAAGCCATAGCTGCCTGGATGCCACTCCCTTGGGCTGCTTTTCCAGGCAATACAAGGATGAATCCTTTACTTTTGATATTTTCTTTTCCACTATTACTACCTTTTTTTTTTTTTTTAAAGATTTATTTATTTGTGCATACAGAACTGGGGTACAGGTCAGAGGCTCAGGGGCGGTGAGAGGCTTCACCACAGACAGAGTGGGGAACAGAACAGGCAGATCAACGAAGTACACTGCTGAGGGGAGCAGCGGGCGGGTCAGGAGAGGTCTGCCACGCCATGTGGTCACCTCCGGAGCAGGCGGGAATTGAACTCATGCGGAAGTGGCTTTAGATTCTCAGTGCTGTGCTTTAACCCGCTGCGCCACCAGGGAGGGCCCTATTACTACCTTTTTAATAAATGTCTCACTACAATGTGTGGTGGCGGGGTTACTCAGAGTCCGTCTCCAGAAGAGTGAGAAGCCTAGAGGGACCACACCAAGAAAGTGCAGCCCAGCTCCAAGGGCAGTCTTGTTTTTATTTAGAATCAGACAAAATATAAGATCAAAGAAGCAAGAAGGTGAACTTACCGGGAGTGCACAAGTGTGTGTGGGCTGCGTAACCAGCTGGCCCCAGCCAAGGGTGGGAAGTAGGGAGAAAGTCAAGGAAAGTCTCAGTGTTTATGCTGCTTGAACCATAACACCTGTTTTCAGCATGATAGATGCTCATAGCAAGATTTTTGCCCTGAGAGGGTTCTTAATGCAAACCTTCCCTATTTTTGTTCATGCTGCTCTCAGCATGTTTAGGTCCTCAGGCCAGGCCTTTTGCCCTGAGAGGTGCCTTATTAACTTTCCCTGTTTCTGCACCTGAGAAGCACAGAACAGTCAGAGCAAAGAGTAATCAAGGCAAAGACACAGAATAGTTGGGGCACACAATAATCTAAACTGCCACACATAAAGACTAAATGAACTCCAGAGCCATGCTAAGAAGATTTGTGTTTATCCAATTATTTTCTTTTAAAGAACGAGATGGATTCATTCTTGTTCTTTCATTTTGTTTCTCTTTCTTCTTTGCTTCAGTTATAAACTAGGCATGTATCTGGATGCTCTGACTAAAGTGATAATAAACACAGACACAAACACAGCGTCTGATTTTTTGGAATAGACAAACTAGTGAGGAAGACTTGGCCCTTCTGGATTAGTTTGTTTTAGTTCTTTGATGGTTGAAACAATAATTCTGAAAGTCTGAATCCTGGATCAGCAGCCTCCATACTACTAAAAAGCGTGTTAAAAATGCAAATCATTACACTCCACTTCAGACTTACTGAGTCAGAATCTTGGGGGTGAGACCCAAAAGTCTTATCTCTTAACAGTTCTCAGGTGATCCTTGAGCATGCTAAGTTTGAGGAACACTGACCTAGAGACTTACTTTTTTTTCTTTTTTTCTTTTTATAAGTTTATTTTTTTTTCCATCTCAATTGTAATCCACACGGGTTTCCCATCACAAAGTCACCCGTGTGCCATCACCATAATCCTGTGCACTTCCCCCCCCCCCCCCCTGTTTTTGATCCCATTCCCCACTCCACCCCCGCAAAATGTCTCTGGTATATGGTTGTTCATTATTTTTGTTATTTTCTCGCCTGGTCCATTATACTCCTGCTATGAGTGAAACCATCCGGTATTTTTCTTTCTCTTTCTGGCTTAAGACTTAATTTTTTTTTCTTTTTAAAGATTTATTTATTTATGCATACAGAACTGGGCTACAGGCCAGAGGTGCAGGGGCAGTGATAGGCTTCATAAGAGACAGAGTGGGGAGGGGAGTAGTGGGCGGGTCTGGAGAGGTCTGCCGCGCCATGTGGGTCACCTATGGGGCGGGGATTGAACTCATGCTGAAGTGGCTTTAGCTTCTTAGTTCTGTGCTTTAACCCGTTGCACCACCAGGGAGGGCCCGAGATTTTCTTTTCTTTTCTTTTTTTTATACATACAAGAGCTGGGGGATAGGCCAGGTAGGGGGTGAGAAGACCCACTAGAGACAGAGTGGGGAGCAGAACAGGTAGATCCAATGAAATACACTGCTGAGGGGAGCACTGGGCAAGACAGAAGAGGTCTGCTGTGTCATGGGGGTCAGCTCCTTGGCCGGGGATCAAACTCATTCTCCAGTGGCTGTGGATTGCTTCATAGTACTGTGACTTAACTCCTGTGTCACCAGGGAGGCCCCCTGCGCTAGAGATTTTCACTGCCTCGTCTGTTATACTCCTACCTGTGAGGAAGAGCTGGGTCCTTGACCTGACCTGTCATGTATCTTTATTTTGAATAGTTTGAGACATTCTCACTGGTTTTGTTGGAATTATATGGAATTACATGTTTAAGAATATTACTAATCATGCCCACCTAATGAATGATTAATGCATATTCATTCTGACTGCCAGGGCTATAGTTAAAACCAGATTAAAGGTGAATGAAATCAAGGAAGGTTATGTGAAAGCACAGATAAGAATGCTACAAGTGTAATAAATGCCCATAAAAGGAGAGGGGTGTGCATCACTCACAATAGTGATGGCCTGGTTTAGAAAAGGCCTCATGAAAAAAATCTTTTGACATATGAGGAAACAATGTAACTCGACCAAAAAGTCTGATTTTTTATACAATGTAATGGTTTATTTTTACATCATTTTGTACATTTTTTTTTTTCATTTCAATTGTAATCCCCGTGAGTTTCCCATCACCAAGTCACCCATGTGCCATCACCATAGTCCAGCACACTTCCCTCCCCCCACTGTTTTTGATCCCATTCCCCACTCCACCCCCGTAAAATGTCTCTGGTATATAGCTGTTCATCATTATTATTATTATTTTCTCGCCTGGTCTGTTATACTCCTGCTATGAGTGAAACCATCCGGTATTTTTCCTTTTCTTTCTGGCTTATTTCACTAAGCATGATCTTTTCCAGCTCCATCCATGTTGCTTCAAAAGGCACGTGTTCAATTTTTTTGGTTGATGTGTATATGTACACATCTTTTTAATCCAGTCATCCACTCAAAAAGTCTGATTTTTAACAGAAGTCTAAAATGGCTGGCTAGCCCTAACTCTGAGAAAGCAGTGTATTTCCAAATATGGTGTTGCTTTGCATCTATGTACAATTAGTGTAGACAGTGAGCTCTAATTTCGAAACACAGTTGGAGGGGAATTCACTGGCTGTGATGGGTCACAATCACACAGCCAGGAATTTGATTCTTCATCTTTCAAACAAACTAATAAGCAAAACTGAAATACCAGCTCTCTTTATCATGGAACTTTTATTTATTGCTAGTAACTAAAGGAATTTTTAGTTAGGGGTTAAAGATGTAATTATTAAGTTTTGAACTTGTTCTCATGGACAGCCTTTGGAAAGTAACTCTTAAGTTCCATTCATATTTAAGCTGCTTATTTAATTTGCTTTCTTACTGTGTATTTGAAACTGCATCAGTGAAGACATGTTGTAACAAAACAAAACTGGCAAGGATCCTTGAAGAGAACAGCTCTTCCTCCTACTCTCTTTGAAAGAAAAGATTCTGTGCAATTGTTGATACTATTTTCTGAAGCATAGTTTAACACTGCCATCTCTGCCCACCTGAACGTCGATATTCTTTGGCTTCTAGGCCCAAAAACATATTGAAGGGTCATCTTGTCTATCCCATAGCTTCCAGCTGTGTTCACACTAAAAAAAAAAAAAAAGAAGAAGAAAAAGAATGAACACACTCTTGTGATCCTAACGACCTTTAGAGAATTCTAATATAGTAGTAGCATGGCCCTCCCTGGTGACTCAAGGAGTTAAAATGCAGCACTGTAAATTATAGCTCTGTGGTCACTGCCTCACAAGTTCGATTCCCGGCCCTGGAGCTGACCCACATGGTGCAGCAGACGTCTCCTGACCTGCCTGCTGCTCCCCTCTGCAGAGTGTTACAGTGCATCTGCCTGTTCTGCTCCCCACTCTATCTCCAGTGAATTCTCTCACCATCACCCCCATACCTCTGGCCTGTACCTCAGTTCTTTCTAAGACAGTGGAAAGAAATCCTTCTGAGTTTTGGGGCAAATTCCTGTATTTTGCAATTCTCACTATCATCTATTTATCATTCGGGCAGTAAACATCTGTTCCGTGTCTGCCAGCGTCAGTCCTTCTGGAAGCCTTAGAGACTCAAAGATGAAGAATTTTTCTACCTCTCAGGGAATCACAGTTGCAGTTTTAGCAGTGTTCAGGCCCCTTGGTGCTCTTTCTAGCCTGAAACCCTGCCTGCTTGACAGAGCTACTTTCTTGGCTTCAGTCCTCCTTGGGGTTAGAGGCCACTGGAAGCTGGTTACGTGGTGAGAGACTCGGGTCAGTTCCCTGCCCTTTCCTGTTCAGGCTCCACAGGTTTGTGTTTCTGACTTCCTGGTCATGTTTCTGACCCCTTCCTTCCTCTCCACATTCGCTCCGACTCTCTTTGTAGTTACTGGGACCCAAACTGTTTCATGAGGGCCTGAGCCAAAGATTCCTGCATATTATACTCATGTCAGCGTGTCTGGGTGCTTTTTCCCTTTTGTGCTCATAGTGCTTCCTTTTACCTTCCCAGAAATGACAAAAAATGCACTCTCGCTTGTCTTGCTGTAGTATCCCCAGTTCTAACTTTCAGTGAGAACCGTCTAGTGGTAACACTTCGCTAACTGTTGGTGGGTTACAGTGATAAATGAGATGTAAATCTTAACTGCGAGTAAAGAAAATAAGCTATATACAAAAAATGTTAGCATGCCCAAAGGGAGGGTTTCCGTTTTCAACTTTATTCTCTTTGTTTTATATCACTTTGCTTATTTCATTTTGAATGTCGTCTATTTCTCTTTTTTTTAAAGATTTTTATTTTGTGGCATGGCAGACCTGACCCACCCGCTGCTCCCCTCAGCAGTGTACTTCCTCCATCTGCCTGTTCTGCTCCCCACTCTGTCTCTGGTGCATCCTCTCACCCCGCTGCACCTCTGGCCTGTACCCCAGTTTTGTGTGCATAAATAAATCTCTTTTTTTGTGCATAAATCTGTTTTTTTTTTAAGATTTATTTATTTGTGCATACAAGGATGCACCAGAGACAGAGTGGGGAGCAGAACAGACATATCGAGGAAGTACACTGCTGCAGTGAGCAGCGGGCTGGTCAGGAGAGGTCTGACAAGCCATGTGGGTCACCTCTGGGGCAGGCTGGAAATCCAACTGGCCCTGAAGCTGCTGCTTGCTTGTATTGCTGCACTTAACTTGCATTGCTCCCGCTGCATCACCAGGGAGGGCCCAAATGTTAACTATTTCTATTGCCCAGCCATATTCTACCAGTTAACAAATGGTCATCAGGCAGTCACAGGTAAAATGGGGTTTAGGATTTATTTTTCAGGAAATCACTCTGCGTGACTGACCAGATGTGTGAATTTTAAGCTGAGATGAGCAGAAAGAATTTTCAGGATCATGAGGAGGAGAGGCTTTACAAAGCACAACCGCCATGCTTCCCTGAGATCCTGACCTGGGGCCTCTTAGACCTACTATTTAAGATAGTTATTGGAGAGATACTGTAGCATACTGCAGTGTGCCTTCAAGTGTATAGGTAAAAAAAGTTGAAAATCTAGTTATTGCTGATTGGATCCAACAGCTATATCTAGCAAAGGCTAGATCCAAAATCTTTACCTGCCATTGTGTTGCCATGAAGGTATTTGGGTATGTCAAGAGGTGCCTTCCCCCCCACACACAACTACCACAGCCATTTACAGCAGTCACAGCACCCTTTCCTGAGCTGCAGCCTGAAGTTGGAGCTTCAAAGTCTCTCTTAGAGAGAAACAGCAAGATGAATAATAAATAAAGAGGCTCACCACTTTGAAGAAGACCTCATAGGCAAACAAAAACCTTGTCATATTTCAAAAGCTAGTAATAATAACACACATTAGTTTGGAGCTTGCAAAGCTGCTTATCTAAATGTGGCACAAGAGAGTCAAGACATTAATTAATTTATTTATTTAAATTATTTATGCATAGAGAACTGGGGTACAGGCCAAAGGTGCAGGGGCGAGAGGATTCACCAGACACAGAGAGGGGAGCAGAACAGGCAGATTGACGAAGTACACTGCCAAGGGGAGCAGAGAGTGGGTCAGGAGAGGTCTCCTGTGACATGTGGGTCACCCCCTGGCTGGGGTCCAAACTGGTGCTGCAGTGGCTGCCTGTAGCTTCACATTGCTGAGCTTTAACCCATTGCGCCACTAGGGAGGGCCTAAGTAATTTATTTTTATTGTTAATTTTTACATTTTTTTTTATTGTGGTAATGCAGGCTTACAACACTGTATGATTTAAGGGTGTAGAGTCATCCCTCTTCCAATGCAGGATTCCCAGAGAAGACTATGCCATACCCCCACCAGTTTGATGTCAATGTTCAATTGAAACCTTCATTTCCGTTCTCTGGTGTGACAACAGTATTTAGGAAAGAACATGAGTGTTTTGAAAATTAGGTTTTGTTCAGCCCATGGAAATCAGTGTCAGTTACACAAGAGAGCATATTTCATTTCCTTTAGTGTCTTACGTGCTTCCTCAGTTACACCTAAGAATTTGGTATTTCAGGGCATAAAAAAATAACATAGAAGAATTTCTAACCTCAATGTCAAAGCAGTTTTCCCTCAGTTTGGTGAAAATACTATACAGATCAGGAAAAAAGAGGTCACTAACATAATGGTCTAAGTTTGTATCAGTTAGAGAGTAGTGTTAGAACAACCCATATTAGCAACCCATATTAGCAACCTTCACCATCTTCCTTTGTAAGAATGTCATTTCATGAAAATTTTCCTCTTTTGTTTACAGACTCTATTTCTCAGTGCAAGCTCGTGGGGAGACTGATAGAGAAAAGTTGCTGTTAATGTATCAGACAAATGATCAAATCATAAATGGGCTTTTTCCTCTGAACAAGGACCTGGCATTAGAAATGGCAGCACTTTTAGCTCAGGTATTTTCTATGCTTTGTAAAATAATATTTTGTAGAATTTGTAAAGTATTATTTTGTAAAAATAAAATAGTAATTTCTAAACTGAATTGAATGTAGTGAAACAATATATACCTTTGGTAATTCATTAAATTGATTTTGCTGTGATTAACACTTTAAAAATTGTAGGCATTATAATTATAGTTTGAGTCCAAATTGCTGACAGTTGCAATGATATAAAATGAAACATGCCACAAAAGGAGCTTAATTTCTTAATTTTCTTGATAGTTTACCACTAGGCTTTGCATGTAATGATGAAGCTTGAGTGTGGGGTTAGGAATGCCCTGCTGAAATCCTTTATTAATCTAGTAAGAATCAGTTTTTAAAAGCTAGCAAGCTTTCTTTTATTTGCCTGTTTTATCAATTAGAATTAAGTGCAGACCTACACACACACACACACAGAGCCAATTTTTAAGAACTTCATCAAAATAGAAGTGTACTTGGCTTTCACACAGAGAGACATGCTGGTACCTGTACAAAATCTTTAGGAGCATGGGCTTTTTTCCTGTTCTCCATTTTACTGTCCCTAAAATGTTATCCCTCTCGTCCCAAAGATCTGCCAGAGGTCCAGCTCCAGGGAGCAAAACAGACGAAAGGTTAATTTGAGAAACTTCCCAAACATTACATAGAAAATTTCCATGCAAATCTCAGTCAAAACTGACTCATTTGGCTTTGCCAGTCCACAGGAGGGCTGGGATGTATAGGCTTAGCGGGGCAAGCTCATATTTAAGAGTTTTTTTACTTAGGAGAAAATGGTCCCAAGGGAACACAGAGTCTCTACCACAGGTGAATCTTTGCTCAGCTAACTAAGGGAAAAATATTCAGGTAACTGTGTGACATATCATCTGGACAAAGGCTTAGATTTCCAGGGTTTTCAGGCTTCTTGCTCTGTCACCATTCCAGGATGTTCTGTTCATTCTCTCCATTTATTGAGCTTCTATTCCCGTGATTATCATATATTATTTTTTTCTTTTTTTGCAATTTATACTTTTTTCTTGAGCCCTCTTTGGTGCCCTGTAGAAGGCACATAGCATAGTTTATAACAAATATTTGTTTATACTCCCCTTTCCCCTAAACCCTTTGAGGTCAGGAACTATGTTCAAGGCTTTTCTTCCTAACATCACTTAGCACTGCCTGACATGCAGGGTTTAGTATTGGTTTGATGAATGAATGGGTGAGTGAGTCACTAGAGAGGTGAGGGGTGGGTAGTTAAATGAACGGGTGGGTAAAAGATGTAACCTTTAATAAGGAATACTGAATAAAGTTTGAGCATCTTCATTGGGGTAAGGGAATGCTGTTCCCAGAAATTTCAAAACAATAAAATGAGGGGATGAAATGCCGAATCATTTATGACAAAAACCAAACAAGAAAACAAATAGTGGTTCTTGCTCCATTATACTTAGTAGAAACCCTTAGAAAGTCTAAGTAATACTTTTTTTTTTTGAGATTTCTCATAGCTCTGTAACTATGTTTCTTTTATTTCTAACTTCTTCTTCTTGTTATTATCAATTAAAATAGTACCTTAAAAATGAAAAATTATCCTGTGCTGTTGCAGGCACAGTAGAGTAGTGGTCTTTAGCAAGTACTATTAGATGGTGGTATTAGTCTAGAGTAGTTAATGTTGAAATGAGCTGATATGTTCAAATTATATATTTTTTTCAAAATTAGAATTCCAATGGAATTTAGATTTTAACAATAGCACTCATATATGGGTATCATGCCCCTAATCTCACAACCATGACAAATAGACTTATATATTCTATGTGATAATATATAAAAAAGAATAAAATTGATATTTCTTTTTAAAAATGCTTTCCAATATCACTTGTATTCTCTGTTTTGGATTTTCTATTAGGTGGAGATTGGAGATTTTGAAAGACCTTTTTCAACTCCAGCAGGACATGTTACTAATCAGTGCAAAGCAAACCAAACTCTAAAACAAGTCATAGAGAAATTTTATCCTAAAAGATACAGAGATGACTCTTCTGAAGAACAGTTAAGGTAAGGAGCCATTTGTAATTCTTTAAAGATATGTAGAGTCCCACTAGTTTTTCCTTCACATTTTTCTGTTCAACCCATAAAGATGAAAAAATTATACATGACAGTTTCTCAGGATTTTTTAAATGTTGTTAAATCCCAGATTATATATCTTTTTATTTTAAATGTGCCTAGAGACCTTAGAATCTAAATCAAAATTCTAATTAAAAATTTTATATTAATTTAGAATATCTACTTTCTACTCATCTGTGCTTGTGCAAAATAATTCTGCTAATAAATATTTTAAGATTTATGCAGTAATATATTAAGTATGAAATGTTCACCAAATTTTTCTATTACATTATAAGTAAATTGAAATAAGGCAAACTATCTTTTTACACAGTATTTTAAAGTATAGAGTTTTTAGTTAAATTCAACTTATTTGGTTAGTTTTTCTTGATTTTGATTTTAAAGAGCATGTCAAGAGAAGTTATAAATATAATAAAAAGCATAAGTTTTTCCAACATAGAAACATTGCAGATCAGTTTTTGTTGATGTAGAATCAATAGATGCCTCTATGATTTTTTTAAGTTTCCCCCACAATTCAACATTTCTCCAAGACATGGTGGGGTTGGGGACACAGGGGTTAGGGGGTATCTAAAATTCAACCATTAGAGATTCATTCTTTGGTCTCACACTTTTCCTTAAAAAGGTATTCCCATTGAAGTTACCTTTCAAACTAATTTACAGTAAGATTTGATGTTAGCTTATAAGATTAAAATTTTATCTGGGGAACCTAGGTCATGCTGAGAGCATGAGTAGTGTTAGTTGGTGAAAGAAATGATACAGAAAGGACAAGAGGAGACAGTTGTGAAATGCGGGCTACGCCTGTTCCCCAGCTGGGCCAGAGTTGGCTCAAGGAGCGCTTCATCTTGGGAGGATGACCGGCTGTGTATGCTCTTGCTGTTGTGTTTTGTTTTCTTGTTTTCACTCTTGTGTCTTTCTAGGCAGCTTTGCCAGCGCCTGTCAACCAGATGGATGGCCCTTCGGGGCCACAGTGCGGCTGACTGTGTGCGTATTTACTTGACAGTAGCCAGGAAGTGGCCGTTCTTTGGTGCCAAGTTGTTTCTTGCAAAAGTAAGAAAAAGCGGGAAGGAGATGCATAGTAAAAACCTCTGTGTATGGATACAACTTTGTTCAGTGAAGTAAAACAATAACCCTGTGTTTAGTGCATTTGGCTTTTAGAAAGAAACTAGGGAAATTCCCAAGAATTTTAGAAAACAATGAAGGGACTCTAAAGAGAGAGTGGAAAAGCCATCAGCTTTTCTTTCTCCCCCTCTGCTCACCTTCCACCTGTCTTAAATCCTTCCTGACGCTCAGCCTCTTCCTTAAACAGAAAACAACTTTACTTTCTTGTTTTCATCTGTTCACAAATTACTCGCACCCATTTGCTCATTTATTTAGTGTGAATTTAAGGAAGTCTGCTTTACAGACATGAGCTAAGCTCTGGGGATACATCAGATGGGCTGGATCCCCATTTTCAGGTGCTCCTCGGCCAGCACTGCCCAGGCTGTCAGCCCCTCTGTGTGGTGCATGCAGCTGGGAGTGACAGGGACAGAGCACTGCAGCAGCAGGGGACAGACAGCCCTGCCTGGCGTGGCCGGCGGTTTCCCCAGGGAGAGAACACCACTCTGGAATTCCTCTTCCTTTCTGTCCAATCACATGACTTTGTACCCTCTGAGGCTCTTAAGCTACATCTTGTCTTCTGTGGTGATGTCCTGAGTGTTGGCTTATCCTTACCCATAAATTGTACATACCCTGAAGGTCGACACTCACTGATGGTAAAATCCTCCTCGGGTGTTTAACCACAATGCTTTGCACATAACTGTCACTTAATCAGTATTGGCTAAGTAACAATCCAACTTTGAGCAAGTTTCCTCAGCCATAAATGAACAACTTGTACTAGAAGAGTAACATTTAAGGTGTTTTCTAACTCTGATTCTGTGAGTGATTACATTATTGTGAGGTAAGAAATTATTTTGGTGTTGGAATTAGAAGCTATATATTAAGAACTAAAACTGTATACTAAGCTACATACTTGGTATATAGAAGCTACCTACAAGTTAATAGAAAAGTAATAAAGTCGGTATACTTAAACATCTATAAGATTAATATATTTGCAAGGAGTTGAGCATGTATCTTAAAAATATAAATCAACATTTTACAATGGATTTCAATTTTAACTTCAGCATTGGAAGGAATACCAAATATTCTTTTTTGATAGTATGAGCTATGCTTGCTAGCATAGAAATATTATTAAATAATATTTTATTTGCATATTGCATGACTGAACTTTTACTCACTTTTTTTCTTTATAATATGGAGATACCACCTTGTTTAATGGTTACCTAGGACTTTTTATACATGAGACTCTGATAAGACTTAATACATACACATAACATTAGATTCATCCCAACTTCTTATCTTTAGTCTTTATATTCTCTGATAAAATTTAAAAGTAGTTAGATTTTTTTGTTAGAATATCAGTTTGAACAAAGCTACATTGTGGTGGAATGTGAAACACTGACAGATTTTAGTGGTGAGGGATTGTTTTTATTAATACAATTTTCATTGTTTTTGCAATAAAGAATTTAGTGGATATTTTAGTATTTCTTATTACTATGGATCAGGTTTCATATTTTCTTTTTATTCTATTTTTATTACACATTGAATATCAGATTTCATAATTTTTCATTAAAAGTATATAATTATAATAATCCTTTACATTGTAAAAACCCTAAAAAGCACATCAGTATGCCTTGTTTTGTTAGGATTTTGGTCATCCTAAAAGTCTGATGTGCTTTGTTTAGTAGCCTCTTGAAATAAAAGAAAAATAAGATATACATATTGATTCTATGTTAAAGATAAGGAAATTGAGCCCAAAAGAGATTAAATAGCTTGGCCAAATGTACTACATTAATAAATGGCAGGTACCTGGGTCTCCTGATATCAGATTCACCTCTCCTTCGTTTCCACCACCCTGCCACCTCCCCAGGAGAGGTCTGCAGTAAGCTGCTGCTGCAGGTGTTGTGTTGCATTTAGGCTGAAAAATATTTCAGTCATTTTGTGAATATTAATTATACAGCATGTTTTCATCTCTTCCTAGCCTGTAACTCCATCATCACTTGGAAGTACTTTCATGTGGCTGGCTATACATGAGGATGGTTTAAGCATCTTAGAGTACAACTCCATGGTAAGACTAAATCCTAAATTTTTGCATTGAGTCAACTATTTCTGTTGCTCAGTAGACCATAAACAGAAGGTAATATGATCTTAACTTCATACACAGAAAACATTTTTCCTAATTCTATGCAAATGAAAGTCATTTCACAAATACAACTATGATTACAATTTAATCATTTAAAATAATGTTATACAAATAAATTGTTATGGGAGGCATTCATATGTTAAATTCTAAAAAGAAGCAGAGTACTAAGAGCATTATGTATGATTCTTTTGTATTTATATATATGTATCAAAATCTATATATCAGGCTAAACCATATATCAATCATATATATCAGGGTGCTAATATTAAATGATGTAACCTTAAAAATATTAGTTTCCTATGATTCATATATTAGTTTCCTGTGATTCATATATACATACAAATAGAGAGAGATGTCTTAAAAAGACATATACAAAATATTGATGGTGGGCTTCCACTGGATACTGGAGTATAGGTGCTTATTTCCTTCTTGCACTTTCTGCTTTTATTACAGTGAGTTATTTGTTTCAGAACCAAAATGTATTTTAATTATAAGGTAAATGAGTACATTACTATTTATTTTGTATTATTTCATACCAAAAATACTTTTGTATTAGCTTTTAATGGGTACTGTTATTATCATTTCTATATTACATGATAATGCTATATGATTGGCATATATAATAGTAACTATTATCATTCTTTGAAAGTAAAGAATATACAACAAATTTACTTTTTCTTCTCTTTGAAGAGGTTAATAGTCAGCTATGTGTACAAGAGCCTAATGACCTTTGGAGGGTATCAAGATGATTTTATGATAGTCATTAACAATACACATTCAAAAGACAAACCAACAGAGAAATTACTTTTTGCCATGGCAAAACCAAAGGTGAGTTGAAATCTGTCTGTTTTATTTACACTAGATTTTTTTCTGTAACATTTATTGCACAAAGTTTCATGTGGAAAAATAAGATTTTACTTTAATCAAACAATCAAATTCTGCCCTAAATTTTTTCAACTTTGTTTTCTTTATCTTAAAAATGCTATGATGCTGCCTAGTTTTTCTGGCTTAGGAATTAAGTAAAGGGATTATAAAATATTTAGCCCAGGCCCTCCCTGATGGCGCAGCGGGTTAAAGCACAGCACTGAGAATCTAAAGCCGCTTCACATGAGTTCAATTCCCGCCTGCCCCGGAGGTGAGCACATGGTGTGGCAGACCTCTCCTGACCCGCCCGCTGCTCCCCTCAGCAGTGTACTTCGTCGATCTGACTGTTCTGTTCCCCACTCTGTCTCTGGTGAAGCCTCTCGTCACCCCTGAGCCTCTGGCCTGTACCACGGCTCTGTATGCACAAATAAATAAATCTTTAAAATATATATACATATATTTAGCCCAAAGATAGGTAGACAGAGGTTCAAAATAAATGATCTTGCTAGTAGGCTGTTGTCAGTTACTTTATATGCATTATCTTTCTTGGTGAACTCACTTTTCAGACACCTTTATATAAATACTGAGCCTTTGTAATTAAAATGTACTTGTCCCCTTACTATTGTTGACAGACTATATAGGTTTAATGTCTCTAAGGAAAAGCAGTAAATTAAGGGGCTACAGTCTAAAATGTAATTGCAATTTTAGTAAAAGATATGAGAAATGGATATTCTAAAATTTTTAACTTAAAATTATCAACTAATGGAAACCACTGTTTTTCAAGTTTGAAATGTTTTTAAAGATGGGAGCTTATTTCTTAATTAAATCTATATTTAAGTGAAGGTGAAAAGTTCAGAAGATCCCGGCTCACTAGCACTTTAGTCTAATAAAGATTTGCCGTGATGCACTAAATATCTTAATTCATATATTCACAACTGTGATTTGATCACAACTGATAAAACTATGCCACTGAGTGTTGCTATTTCTAGTATGGCCACTAGATTTAATTGTTTTTTTAAGATTCCCTCTACTGGTTGAAGTCAAGGGAAAATAGTTCAGTGCCTCAATGGTGCTGAACACCAAACATGGTTTGATCTGGGAAGAACGTCCACCTTTACATTCTTCTGAAAGTGATGAGAACTTCATCTGGTAGTAAACTGTAGTCTATAACTGTTATCAGTTATACTACAGTGTAACACCTGGTAGTAGAACTGGTAGTATAACAATTCTGTTTTTCTTGTTTCAGATTCTTGAAATCACTCTTTTGATTGCCAGTTACATAAACAGTTTCCATCAGCAAAAGGCAGCATTTCATCACCTCTCTGCACCAGCGCTGCTCTCAACCCAGACTCGGGGACCCCAAGCGAGGGCGATGGGAAGCCAACCCCTTCTGTCAGGCAACAGACCCACCAAAGGCCCCACTTTGCTCTGAAGATTCTGGAGCCAGAGCATTCGCTCTCTGCCTCTGCTCCAAATAAGTTCACTTACCTCCTGGCAGCTTGACACCACACTGGTATTCCAGACTTTAGAAAGGATGGTGGTTACTCCCTTTCAATTCTTAAATATTCAAAACATAAACAAAATATGTCCACATGCCAATTTTCTCTCAGATTCAATGGGTTAGAGTCATCATTTTTTCCATCTCCTTTCTTCCTTGCCATCAGACACATTGTGGCTTTTTTTTTTTTCTTGGCAAGCTTTAGAAAGAAAGATCCCAAACTCATTGGGCAATCCAGTTGATTTTATTTGGAAATGTCACTGCCCCAAAAATTAAGTACTGTAATTAAATGTACTTTTAATCAATGGTATGGTGTTTGGGAAGGAGTTGAGTACGCAGAATATGAAACAGCTGCAGGGTAATGTTTAGGGTGAATTTTTAGAGGAAGTGCAGTGAGTCATCTGGCCCCAAAATCACTGTGTGAGAAAGCAGGAGTTAGGTAACCAGACCCTCCTAGGCGATATAAGAAAAATGACCCTTTCACATCACTGGAGTGTACAACTTAAAATGAAACAGCATTCCATGGCTGTCAGCCTAGAACGAGTTTACTGGAACATTGCCCACATTTCATTGCATTTAGTGCTGGGTCATCTTGACTTTGCCTGGGTAAGTAATGGTATCTTTGGGGAAAAAAAATTTAGAGCTTTGCCTCAGACAGCCCTTTTTAAATATACTTTGAAAATAAACTCCTAATGATATTTTTTAAAAAGAAGAAAAAGTAGTTTTTTTCTGTAAAAGAAAGTTAAAATTTTAGACTAAAAAGATACTGCTTCACTGGATTGATAAATGGTCAGTAGATTCCAGTATATGGCAAAACAAAGTAATTAATATTCATCATAACAATGAAACTGTGATAAGACATGAAAATTATATTATAAAAATGTTTAATTGCAATAGTAATCATGAGTATACTTAATTTTATTTATGTGTGGAATATTTGTATTTATTTTTGGACATATATTTATCACTTTGTATATGGTATTTTTTAACCAATTTGGAAAAAATGTTAGCTGCTGAATTAATTTGTCAGCCAAGCCTTCATATTTTCTTCTTTGCTGCTTTCTCCTATGAAAATGTACTGTTCTCACACTAAGCCTTTTTAAAATGTACTACCCCTTATTTATCCTTAAAATGAGCAGAGCTAGGAAATAGACTGCTCAAATAATTTGCTTTATTGATAATGATAAAAAGGTCAAAGCCCCCATAGGTCTCCATTCACAATGTCCCCTTAATCTGTTGAGCCCCCGCGACTCATTGAATAAGAAAACTCACTTTTCAGTATATACTGGTTACCAGTGGGGATGATTCTTAAAAGCCTATTGACTCAGATACAATAAGAGTTTCTAAGTTCCCAGAAACCATTTAATAATCATTAGTTGCTGAGCTAGAGACTTGGCAAAACTGTTATATATATGTGAGGACTTTATTCTCAGGCAATAGTTAGTTTACCATCTGGTAAGCGTCCCCCAAATCCTCTAATTTAAACAAGTAGTGGTGGCTTAGCTTAAACAGTCGTACCTTAGATTTGGCATTTATTTTTGATAGAACAGAGATAAAATATTTTGATGGAAAGAAATCAATTTCCTGTAACTGATGTGAAAACTTTATTTTCTGGGAAATTACTTCTATAGCCATTCAAAAAATTCAAACTATATTATTATGATTGGTTGTAAGAGAATGTTACATGTTTAATTGTAATATTTGTCTCCTATCATTTTCTTCCCTTTCAGTCATAATAAATGATTTGAAGAATCTTTTTGAGCATTATCTTTTGAATAATCGTCAAGATATACCTAATGTTTTCATTGTCAAAGCTGAGCAGTCCTACAAGTGAAAATGATAGTTATTACTTCCTTCTCTTTCATTCATGTCCTACATAAGTGTTGCTTTGTTTTACCTACAAAAAAAAAAGCTGTTTGGGGAAATTGCAATTTTAATACATCTGTATGCATGTTGACACATACACAATTTGTGAAAACAGCAACAACAGCTTATATTAGTGACTATTAAAATCAGATGACTGTTCAAAAACATAATGCACTATCAAAAATAAACTAATGGGACTGCAATAAATATTTGTGCATGTCAAAGGAAAAAAGCAACAGTGAAAAGGCCATCTGCAGGGTGGGAACAATAATTGCATGTCATATATCTGAGAAAGGGTCAATATCCATGATATATAAAGAATTTCTATAATTTGAGAAGTTATTAAGTTTTGGACTATCTATAGATTATAAAAATTTTCTACTCTGTGATATGGTAAGAATCATCAACAATGGTCATGTACCATTGTTCTCTGAAATTTTTTGTATAAGGTTACCACTGATGTCCTAATTGTGAAGTCCAATGGACTCCAAATGGCCTGATCCTATCATGGGGTATGCTTGTTTTATCCTTTATACCTGGTTCTACTCACTGGCCCCTAAGAACTAGTTAACAGATTTACAAACTCATCAGTCATCCTAGAGGGACATTGACTTTTCTCTTTTCCAGACCATCACTTTGTGCTATCTGGTAATTATGTAAGACATGATTCTTTGTGTTGAAAATTTCAAAATTCAACTTGAACCAGTTTGAGTCAAAGTGGGTACATTTATTACAAGGTGTTGGGAGTGACCAAGTGCGGAGATTTACTGAGGGACTGGAGAAGGGCAGTAATAAATTAGGCCTTGCATCCAAGGGAGATAAGGCAGTAATAAACTGGGCCTTGCATCCAATTAACTAGGCCTTGCATCTGGGATGGGATTAGAAGGTGATAAGGAACTTTGCCTTACATCAAGGGACACAGCGGTGAGTCAGCTCTTTGGAATCTTGAGTTTAGAATCTATATGAGACCCTTCCCCCCTATAGGGCTAGCAGTAGCTATGGACCCTACTCTAGGGGCTCTGTCTCAGCTGCTGCCCAGGAGAAATAAACTCTGCTTGCTCAGCCTTTCTGCCTCCCGCCTTCCTTTCTTGCAGCCGGTCACAGATGTTGGGGCAAAACACAAGGGTATTACGATGTCTCACATAATCAAAGAGAGAGAGCTCAACAACCAAGTCGTAAGGACAGAAGCCAAACCTTGGGGACAACCAGACTCATGAGATGCACTAGAACTTTTCCATATACTGCTGGCATTTGCTTCATATTCTCTAATGAAATAGCTTATTCATTTAGCAGAAATATACCAGTTTCCTTTAGCAAATCAAGTTTGGAAAATCCCAGGGAAGGATTCAAACCAGCCCAGTTCATGTTAGGTGTTTACTTTGGACCCCTCAAACACTCAAATTTAGGAAAATGCGTAAGTAAATTATGAAAAATATATACCGTAGAATAGTATGTAATCATTAAAGTTATATTTATGATTTTAAAAAGATGATATAGAGGAATACTTGATAAAATCAGAATGTTAACTGACTTCACAGTAAAAATTCAATTGTGCAAGATAAAAGGTGAGTTAAACCAATAAAGTACACCAAAATGTTCAGTTATTACTTCTGAGGTGTGCTTATTTTACACTTTTTATCTTTTCAGTATGGTAATTCTTCTATAATAAGCTATCTAACTTTGAAAACAAAGGAAAAACTCCAACTTTCATTTTCTGGCCTATTGTTAATAGTATGGACTTCCAGAGGTCAACCCTCCTTCACACTGCAAAAAATTATCTCACTGAAACTCAGGTCCAGTCATAGCACTTGCCAAGGGAAAATCTTACTTGGTTTCTCATAACCAGTGCAATAAAAAGCAGAGTAAAGCTCTTTCACTGTAACCCATCTATCCACCCCATTTGTGCTCCCACATTTATATGCTTCCACCCCAACTATTCACAGCTGTCTAAACACCCCCTGCATACACCATTAGTGTTCTGCTGATTTCATTCTGTAGCAGCATAAAATTTGTTTCCCCCATCACCACTAATTGAAATCCTTTAGTCTTCTTGGGGTGATCCACTAGGGGAGATGAAAATTTTGTGCAATCTTACCTTGAGAACAATATCTACCCAGGAGACATTAGGAAAAGAAAGGGGGATTCACCTGTTCTATCAGATCAGCTAAGTGAACCCAGTCACCCCCGAATCAATGCTGGTGATCAGACAACCTTCTCCCTTATTAGCAGGCTCAGGCTCCTTTATTTGGTCACCATTTCCTCAGTTAGCAAACAATTACACATTTAAAATGTTAATACCGTGCCTAGCATATAGCAAGCTTTTGGCATAATGTTAGCTCCTGTTATTATCCGTATCACCAGGCTTTCCTAACAAACATGAAAATGTATTCTAAAGCTACAGGATCTAAATCATTATGAATTATTACAATCTGTCCCACTTAAGTTTATGGCTATTTAGCTCCAGGGTATAGATGTTGATTCAATGGTAATCATCCTTTCTCCCTTGCACTTGACTTATATTACACTCACTTTTATGTGCAACCGCACATAAAAAGTGCGTACATACACCTAGAGGTTTTTTTCCCAAAGAGTTGAACTACCTACTTTATTTCCAGGAAGGTGACCCTTGTGGTCTTTGTTGTTGTTCAAAGTCACTGATCAATATTTTTTCACATGACAGTAACATGCATTGAGTATTTATAATGTCAGACATAAGTAGTAAACTATGTTGTTTTTTTTTTAATTTATTTAAGACTCACTATTTCCCCTTGACTGACAGGACCATAGGAACTGGGTAAATTTCCAGTCTGGTGATGTAGGAACTTAGCTTGAGTGAGGGCTTGAATTTGAGTCTATCTTATTTTTAAAAAAAAACTTATGTTCTTGGACATTGAACCAAGAAACAAAGCCAAATGACAGAAGGGTGAAGGCAGATTGGCTCCATCAAATATTTCAGTACATTACAGGTTAGAGAGATTGGTTCTATGCAGCATTCAAGACATATCAAACACTACAAAACATAAAAATAAATGGTTTTCTAACTCCTGTAAGCATAATCAGTTGTTTGTGCTCAAGTGATTTTTTAAATTTTTCTGTAATAACATATCACTAACTTACTGAGTTATTATAATTACCTATATGTATCTTACCCCAGGGTAGAAATTTTGTTTTACTAATCTCTTCATTCTTTGTGTAACAGAATCTTGCATATAGTAATAACTAATATGTTACTCATTTTGAGATTTTTTTGGGAGATCTATAAAGAAGTCACAGATTTCAAACAAAAATTATCTACATTCATAAAATAAGTGAAGTGTAGAGAAGGCACACTTGGTTAATTATAATTGTTAATTGTAATTTTTATATTGTTGATAGATTATATTTCACTGTATAAAACTTGAAACAACTAACGAAGCAGAAGACTGGAAAATAAAATCAACAGTCTTTGCCTCTAGTAATTCATTAGAAAACAGCTCAGGAAGTAGTTTCATCCTCCATTCCAAATCACTGGTATTGGGAGAGAAAAATAACTGAACAGAAAGAGGAGAGACCTCGGTCAGGCAGCCTGTACTCGGTAGAACATTTTTTAAGCAGAACACTATTAGAACCAACTCATAGGCTCGCATCTCACATGAGAACTACATTTCCCATAATGCCCCTCTTCCGCACCAACCTGCGTGCTACGTCGCTTCCATGGCAACCAAGGAGACTGCGGCCACAAGCCTGGAGCAGATCTCCCGGGCTGAGTAATTCTAGGCCCGGCCGGACGTTCAGCCCGAAACATTGAGTCAGCCGAGCCAGGATGCCCAGGTATCCCCTCACGCTTCTTGCGCCTCACTTACATTCCTCTAGAGAGCCTCCTCTCTTTCCACTCCAGCCGGGATGGCACTGGGGAGGGAGAGGCCTCCAGGTTAACTTGGGGAGAACCTGCTGATGGATAAAAATTGTGGGTGTCCTGCTTGCACCCGCTGTGTGGATGGTCAGGCATCCATAAAAACTCCCTTGGTGCGGTGCATTTGGACTCTGCCTCAAGCGTGCAGAAAAGTCCACCCCACCCCCCCGTGGAGAAAAGTGAGAGGCCACTCAACTCTAACTTTGCATTTATTCCATGAAAGTTTCTTGAATAGGGCTTTAGGGCTTCTGGCAGTCAAACTGGAGCATAGTTGCCACCTCAAGAGCCTCCCACCCTGCTGCGGGGGTTCATTCCTCCGTAAATAAAGAGAAACAGGAAGGCACCGAGAAAAGTGTTGGGGACAGGGGGCACAGGTTCTTTTGATGACCGTTATACATTTCAGCTCTTTGACATTATGAGGTCAGTTCTAATTACTTGTTCTCACGCTCATACCTAAACCTTCGCCGAACAAGTCATAAGGATGTCAGGGAGAAAGGAAACCGGGACCGATCATAGAGCAGGCCAAACCTCACCTTGTACAACAGTGGTGTGATCCATCTGTTGAGTTTACGAACCTTCATGTAAAAAAGTTGTGAGCTTGCTCCCATCGCTGTCTAATTGGCTACAATTATAAACTTAGGGTTAGTGATTATAAATTTTCACAAGTGGCATGACTGGTTTCCACATGATTTTCCCCTCTCTGATGGGAATTTGGAAAGCAGGCCATCATTTTTGGGGGGAAATGGTGTGTAAATAACAGCCAACAAGCCTGGGCTGAGTTCCAGGGGACTCTGCTGTGAAATAAATGTACAAATTTTAGACCAATCATCTAGGAGTACTCACTTTGTTACAACTATTACCTTGAGTAATAATTGTAGTAAGCATCCCATAATTTTAATTATACATGGGCCAATCCCAAAACTAAATGAATTATCTCATTCTCACAATCATGACAGTCTTATAAGGCCAGTATTCTTTTTTATTAGCGTCTTAGAATGAAGGAACAGAGGAGAATGCAAACACTATAAAAAGCTTGTTTGTTGAATTAACAGAAAATGAAGAATCCAGTGAGGTTAATTTGTCGACATTGGCACACACAGAAAGTACTAGCTTCAGGCTTACATTACATGTACCTATGTTCTTTAGTTTAATAGTCCGTTTTTTGTTTTTGTTTTTCATTAAGACTTTAATTTTAAAAATGATATTATCTTATTTGTGTAAAATTACATAGATGTGTAGAGCTGAACAAAAGGATGATCTTCAAATGTGACTTTACTAGGTGATATTTCCCCTCCATATTTAATATGTAAAAAAAATAATTAAAAAGAAAACTTGAGAATCAAAATTATTGGATACACTTGGTTACCCCACTTGTCAAGACACTGGTGTTTTTCAAGTTGCACAATTCCAAAAGTCATTTGTGCATTTATTTGTATCTGGGAAGCAAACACACACAGCTTTCAGTCCTTCTTGCTTGAAAACCCCAAAATAAGGGAGCCTCAAAACCTGATTGTAAAGGCTCTGCTTTTCATTTTCAGCTTTTCTTGGTAAGCTGCACATAAAAATTTTGTGAAGTTGAAGTAAATATTTGAGTGATTCTTTTTGTTTCTCTGAATTTTGTTTTTCTGCCTCTCATTTAGTGAAACTCTCTGGGAAATTGCAAAAGCTGAAGTGGAAAAACAGAGACGTAATGGAAGTGAAGGCGATGGAGCTGAAACTGGAGAAAAATCTGTTTTCTTCATTGGCAGTAAAAATGGGGTAATGCATTGCTCCTTATTTTTCTTCACAAGTAATTTGATAATTTAGCAACAAGTGGTAAAATTAATTTTAAGATTTTGATAAAAATTTAGATACTTCAATTCCTTAATTGAATGACCAATCTCCACCCTGCTGGTAACAATGGAGTTATCCCTGCTCATGGGTGGCTGGGGACTAACATCCAGCTAAGCTTCTTATCAAAGTGATATGTTTTGACATGGGCCACAGGGGACGAGACTCTTGTTTCTAATGAGACTGCCCAAAGGAATCATCTTCCCCAATTTGCCCAAGGGAACCATAAGTGCTAATCTGATGGTCTTATTTATAGATCATCTATGCAATTGAGACAAGCATACAAATAATGAAAACATGAGCTACAAAATACACTAGACTCTCACTTCTCTTAATCTAGAGTCAACAGAAACTATAGGACACTTGGAGATGCTGTAGTCTTCTACAAGAGGATTCTTACCTGAGCTCCATGGAATCAGTAAACTTGGGATCAGTAAACTTCGTAGACATGTGTGTAGAATTATGTGTGATTGTGCATCAGTGCATGGTGAATTGAATTCTCTCAGGGTTCTAGTAAAAAGGTTAAAGCAAAAAATGATTTTATAGTCCAGCTCTATACCATTGGCCAGTAAAGGTGGCATTCTGTTGCACAGTGAAACCTATCAGAATTTTGGTCACCCTGTTTCATCAATTGTTTAATTGTTTTTTAAGTGTTGACCTATCATGTGCCCCAAGGCATCTTCATTTTATTTTTAAAGATTTTTTTATTTATGCATACAGAGCTGGGGTACAGGCCAGACGTGTAGGGGCAGTGAGAGGCCTCACCAGAGAGTGTGGGGAGCAGAACAGGAAGATCAATGACATACACTGCTGAGGGGAGAGGGTGAGAGGAGAGAGATCTGCTGTGCCATGTGGGTCACTTCCTAGGTGGGGAATCAAACTTGCACTGAAACAGCTGTATTTTTTTTTCCTTCTGACTTATTTCCTGTCTTACTCCATCCATGTTGCTGCAAATGGCATTATTGTTTTCAATTGCTGTGTAGTTTTCCATTGTGTATATATACCTCAGCCTGTTTCAGTTTTATGCTCACCTCTTGGGCCACATTGTGATTTATGAGAGTATAGGAATACCTCTGCTATTTGTTAAACATTCAAATATTTAAAAACTAATGGCAACCTCCTATTTTTCTCAGTCTTTCTGTTTCACCTTTAATGTTTCTTCCAGTGAACCTTGTATCAGTCTTAGGTATCTGCTTGTCATGATCCTGAAATTGATGTAGCATTACATAGCTCATTTCTGCTTGGGGCTCCTGTTACTGTTCATGCATTCATGTCGGGGCTAGTTGGAGCCATTGATGGAGCTACATCTTCACCAGGCACCATCAGTGCTCAGGTAGCATCTCTTTGTCTCCCACTGTGTCCCAGGAGCACCTCTTCAGATCACCAGGCATTCATCATTGGGAGATATTATATACACTGACATTGTATTTATTGGGTGCTGCATAATCATTAATTTTTAGTCACTATAGTCCTCATTTATTTAACACTTTTCAAATGTACATGTAGTTCATGTTCAGTGAATGAAATTAGGAAATCCTGATTTTCTTGAAAAAATATTGCCTGCAAATTTATTACCTAGAAACATGCACTTTTAACAAAGTGATGAATCTAGATTTATTTGTGTGTTTGCTTTTCTCTCTGTATCTATGTATATGTATGTATGTGTGTGTATTTCAAAGAAGCAGGGGAAGATATTTGTAAATTGAAAACAGGATCATGCTAATCTAGTATGTTTTACCATCTCACTAAGTTTAATCCCCATGATATTTCAAATAGCTGCATGTTTATCTTATAGGGATCGCATAATTGATTGAGGCAATCTCCTACTTGTGGCCATTTAGTTTATTTCTAGTTTTTCATATTAATACAACACTTTTTAATATGGTTCATCAATAATATATATTTTAATACTATTCTAATTATTTATTTATATGGCTCATTACTCAAAAAATTCTTCAATTTGATCATATCCCAGATATAATCTGAAGTAATTTATTTGTGATCATCTGTTTTTGGTCAAAAATTACAGGCTCTTTGGTTAAAACACACACACATACACACATAGTAAAATGTTTCGTGATTTTGGCCACCTGGGGTTTTCCAAATGCCTTTCCCTGTTTTCCAGCAGTTTCATCCAGTACCACTTAACCCTGTTGTTCCTTTTTTAATCTGGTGCCTCATAAGAGATTACTTTTTAAAATAGAGATTTTTCTATAAAAACAGTGATTCTCAAAGCACTGAGTCAGTCTCTAAGATGTGAGGTTTCACCGTTTGTGGCAGAGCTGGAACCTGATGCCTGATTTTAGAAAAAAAACTTAGAATAAGAACATACTTACAGAAATAAAGCAATACCCACCTCAACCAAAAAAGAAAAGACAGAAAATAAGGAACATTCTAGTACAGTGTCTGGATTGCTCACTTTGAACACATTTGCAATATGTCCTTTATTTGTATGTTATCTCTTTTCTTTATTTCCACTTCAACAATTGAAATTAAAACATTTTCGAAGACACTAACCATCACTTAACCAGTAATTAGCATTGATGAGTAGAGAGAAAATTTAAGACAGCTGCCAAGTTGACCACTAAAATGAGGTATGATTTGCTAGTATTTGTCATCTATGGGACTTTATAATTATAATAATAGCAGTGTAGTTACACTCCGATGGAAAATTGACAGTTAACTTTTTCCACTTATCAAACTTAGGAATAATTTTGAAAGTTTCTAGCGTCTGGTTTCCAGGTAATTTATCATTCAAGTCATTAAAAAGCTATTTTGAGCCATAATTATTAACAATAATAAAATTTTACATATGGATGACATTAACGCAGTATTCTTTCTTTCTGAATTTCCAGGGAAAGACTACTATTATTCTAAGGTGCCTTGACAGGTAAGTGTTATGTTAACCTTTAGATTACATTTTTGCTTATTCTAGTTGTACAGTGCAAGTTAGAATCTAAAAGACATAGGAAGGAGAACAATATTGAGATTAAAACAAAATAATTTTTTTTGGGTGAATCCTTAGAATGCCTTTAAGATCTTCTTTAAAGATAAAGCAAAATAGGGCCCTCCCTGGTGGTGCAACAGGTAAAAGCACCGCACTACACAACAGTAGATACTTCAGCATGAGTTTGATCCCCACTCTGGGGAGCTGACCTACATGGTGCAGCAGACCCGCCCTGACCCGCCCGCTGCTCCCCTCAGCAGTGTACTTTGTCGACCTGCCTGTTCTGCTCCCCATTCTATCTGTGGTGAACCTTCTCATCGCCCCTGCTCCTACCCCAGGTCTGTATGCATAAGTAACTATATCTTCAAAAATGATTTATTTCAGTCACAAAAAGTCAAAATTGATTTCACTTACAAGAGGAATCTAGAATAGTCAGACCCATAAAATAGGAAGTATGGTGGAGGAGAGAGTTGGGCAGTTATTGTTCAATGACTACAGCGTTCCCCTTCTGCCACAGGAGAAAGTCCCAGAGTTGGTTATCCAACAGTATGAATATACTCAATATTACTGAACACTAGCCTTAAATAGGGGTAAAATGGCAAACTTTCTTTAGTTTTTTTTTCCCTACAAGAAATAGTTAAAATAGATAAATATCATAAAATTGCTTGCTAAGCAGCATAAATTGTAGTATAAACAACTCATCAAATCATTTTCATGTTTCTTCAATACAGTTGTTGATTTTAGGATTTGTTGTAATCTGCAGCTCTCATGAGACAGAGATTGAGCAATTTAAGACAGAGAATTATAACAAAATCTTCCACTGGCCTCATCATTAAATTGATAGTCATTAGTTTCCCAGGGCCCCACCCACATCAAGGCTGAGCATAAACCAGATGTTGGTACTTTTCACCAGGCCAGGATGTAGAGACATTGTGCCCTCGCACACCTCTTGACGTGGGCAACCCTGGCACATTCTCTGCTCACCCCTCAAGTGTCTCTGAGTGCTGCCACTACATTCAGGTGCGATTATCACCTTTGCAGCTGCCACTTAAATTCATTATACTGTTTTGGAAGATTTATTTTTTAGATAAATTTAAATAATTTTTACCCCAATGCTGTTGCAAAGATTACTTCTCTATGCTTTCAAGAGGAGACAAAATGAATCAGGCTAAGATAACAGGATAAGAAATAACACCAAGCATGATGTAATACTGTCTGTCTGTATTGTACAGGGATGAGCCACCAAAACCGACCTTAGCTTTGGAATATACGTATGGAAGACGAGCAAAAGGGCACAACATAGTGAGTGTTGTTTTAAGTGCTATTTCCTTGCCCATGCATAGAGGAGTAGTGACTACATTTTCCATCGAATCTACAATCAACAAACATATCCAGGTGTACACTTCGTAACTATTACTTTTTAACTCAAATGCAACTCAGCATATGTGCAACCAACTCAAATGGTAAAAATACATTAACCTCATTTTTATCTCTTAAATGTCAGGAGATGATTCTTTTATAACTTCGTTGTATATTTGTTGGCATATTTTACATTAATTGTGTTAATAGGAGTTTTTCTTCTGTCAAATGAAAATAACATTGTGAGTTATCTTCTTTCTTCTCTAGAATCTGCTAAAAATGAATTTTATCTGTTGAATATTTATGAAAATATACTGCTTAAAATCTTAATTATTTGGCATTTTTACAAATCTTAAAGTTGTGAACACAACCCTAATTGGTTATAATCCCACTTACATGTCTCGTCAGAGGAAAGTTAAAATTTATTCAGGATAGAGGGGAGGATTATAATAAATGTTAGGGAAATAAAAAGTCCTAAATAGGACTTTCTTTTGAAGTTATCACATGAAGAGAGGTTATTTCTTAAATACAATTACATCAAGATCAGTCTAAAAGTTCCTGCTTTTCCCATAACACAGGCAAATTTTCAGAGATTGATCTAGTCCAAATGTTTGCTCAGAAAACATATAAAGAGTTAAAAACTGCCTGTTGCTGATTACTAGATTTACCAATGAATGTTGATTGTTGAAACAATGAAGTCTAAAAGGAAAAAATAAACAACATGTTGAGATTTCAGAGAACTTTATTTTTGTGATGCATGTGAATTTTGAAATGAATTGGAGGCCTAAAAATGGAATTACCTTTTCATTGGAAACTTTGAGACAACTTTTTTAAGTTTTACTTTTGAGTTTTTCTAAAAACTACTTCATCAAATTGTGAATCAAGGGATATTGTGCAATGAAAAGTTATCCTCCCCAGTAACATTAATAATACAAATTTCAATAGCAAATAACAACGTTAGTGATGATGCGATGATATTTGATAACAATGCCATATCTATTTATCTAAAACTTGCTTTGGTGACCCGCTGCCTCTTTCAAGTTCACGATAACAGATAACATAAAAACTCAACGTGATTCTTTTTCACGTGTATTTTCCTCTAAATTTTGCAAACAGAAGAACACCATTAGCTAGCAATCTAGGAAGGTTGCTATGGCAGAGAGGGTCTTATTTCCAAGGACACTTGGCTGCCTAGCCTGAAAGTCTCTTACTATCTGAGAACGCCATGAAAACAGAAGCTGGCCTTTAGTGTTTTTGTTCCCCACCTACCCCTCTGCCTGCCTACTAGCCTGTCATATTCGCCAGGGTTTTCGGGCACCAGCCCTGGCCGCATGCTTCTGCTCAGCGAATCCTGGCTGCAGCCCAGTCTGCCATCAGTCCCCTTCCCTCACACGGTAGCTGTGTATCTAATGAAGCTTGTGAGCTCTTCCTTCCTAATCAGGATGTTTTCCTACTCAGGTCTTTTATTTCTATCTAGAATTATAACTTTTCTGAAAGATCAGAACAGATGTGTTCAATTGGTCAATTTATTTAAAATTTGAGTCCGCTACATGGGATATTTATAGAATTGGAGTATTATTTGTGATATCCATCAAGGTATTACTAGGCTTGGGCATTTATGTAAACATATATTACATACTTAATATTTCTATTTTGTTATTTGGAATAGATGTTTTGCACGTTCTGAAGGTGCCTGCTAAGAAAGGGTTGATTGGGGACTATCCATAGTTTTTACTTTTACTAATGAAGTATACGAAGTTTTTAAAAAGTAAAAGTTTTACTATGAAAAACACTTGCTTTTTCAGCCAAAAGATATTGCTCACTTTTGGGAACTAGGTGGTGGAACCTCTTTATTGGACTTGATCAGCATCCCAATCACAAGCGAGACCTTACGGTAAGTGCAGCCAGTTCCAAGAATTGTCCTTACTAAGTAGCCAGAAGTGTCCACAGGATGAAGATGAGTTAGTAGCCAAAGTGAATCAGAATTTGGGGAACAGTTTTATGTTGCTGAAGCTTAATGTTCGCTTCTTTCCTACATGCTTAAACCATAATGCTTTCAAAAAGATTTTTAAAGAATGAAGGTGCTAAAAGTGGGAGAGTAAGCATTCTAACTAGTATTGTACAAGCCTGAAAACTGTGTGTGTGTGTGTGTGTGTGTGTGTAAAATAACACTTAAGCAAGAATTCACTTGGCAAAAATAAATTTGAAAGCTTCATTCTTTCCAGTAACCATCCAAGTATGTACTAATTCAGCCCAGAGATTTTTTTTCAACTCAATATAAGTCCACTTTTGAATTTAAAGCTAGTTATGCTGCTGATTTTTCACCCAAGGGAAGTCTGTCAATTCAAGGAAGGAGAAAGTCTATTTGCTGGCCTTAAAGAAAGCAAATGTTGGGGGAACCTCACAAGTTTTGGGTGGTATTTCCTGACAATGACTGGCACATGTGGACCAAGTCAGATGTGGAAAATTGTGACATTTCTCACAGTGTTCCTAGGAACTCATCTTAGCCAAGGAAAACAAAAACTTTCATTCTGAAATATTTTACTCTTGTTAGTTTTTTTGAAAAACAAAAACAAAAACAGGGCTGTTGCTGGGCCAACCGGAGAGGACTTGGCCATCACTTGTTACATTTTGGCTGTTAAGATGTTCAGCATATGGGATCCAAGTACATACATCTGTCTAGTCACTGAGATTTTTCTTTTAAAAAATATAATTTACTGGTCTTTTACTTGTTACAAAAGACATATATACTCATCTGAAAAACTTGAAAAAATAATGAAAGAAACAAAGTAAGAGCACTCATAAGCCCATAGGCAATAGGCGCTGTTAACATGCTGCTTTACTTATTCCAGTGTGTTCAGTATTTGTAAATATACTTTGTACAGATTTGGAATGTTTCATGTAAACATTTAAATCTTGCCTTTTCAGTTTTAATGACATCGCCTGTGATATTTTTCAGAAACACAGAATTCTATAACCCTGTCGTCGTTTTCCACGTGTCCTCCTTTGAGAGAAACATATAATTGAAACTGCCAGAGAATCAGGGTGGCTCCTGGTGATGTGGCTGAGAAGAGAGGGTGAGGGTAGGGAGGAGTTGAGGGGACCCAAAGATGAAACAAGTGGAAACCGCTGGGAGCAGTCTAACCTGTGTTGTGAGCTGGCACTAGATCTGGCTTGACTTGTCACAGTCTTCATTACTTCATTCCCCTTCTCTAGACCCAAGAGGGTTCAGGCCTAATGAGCTTGTGGAAATTCTGCTTTCTGCTACATGTTGTAGCTTCTTTGATACCTCATTTTTTAAGGCCCTGTCCTTCTCTCTCTGGAACTCCAGAGCAGCTGGACCCCCTGTTAGGAGAAAGGAGAGGTCAGTGTTTTGGTGGTTGGAAGGAAGAGGAACCAGGCCTGGGTCCAAAGTGGGTGGCTGAGTAGTTAAAGAATTCATGGAAAACATGTCACTCCTAATGTAGTTGCAAATCTCAGAGTGTTTTGTGACTAGAATTCATCCAACACATAATTTCCTTGTGTTATATAAAACCCAACAACTTGAGAGCTCTCCCTGACAGCACACAGGGTTAAAGCACCGCATTACGAAGCTCTCTGAAGCCACTGCAGCACGAGTTCCATCTCCCACCAGGGAGACGTCACACATGGCATGACAGACCTCTCCTGGCCTACCCATTGCTCCCCTCAGCTGTGTATTTCAGTAGGCCTGCCTGTTTTGCTCCCTACTCTGAAAAAAAAAAAAAAAACTTGAGAAAATGATGTTGGCAAATACTACTTACTTTTAAAATGACTGTTCATAAAATAATTATAATTCATTGAACATTTCCATAGACTTTAGGGACATTGTCAGAGCATTTCCTGTGGTTCAGTTACCTATTTTTAAGAAGCTTGTTTTTGTTTTTTAACTGCATTTACATGAAGGTAAAAGTAACAGATATTTTAAGGCACTGCAAACACAAATTTTAGTCTTGGGAAAAAAGTTAAATAATCCATTTATCCTTTACTTAAAACAGTTATTTTTCATTTGGCAAAAATGATAAATTGTATGTTACATACACTTTATCACATACATAGAAAGTTAAACCATGTTTTAAACATAAAACACATAAAAAAGTTAAACTTTTTAAATATACTAAAATGCTGAAAATAAAAGTATTTTCCTTACTATTCAATATATATAGCATATTATCATTTATAATTAAGAAAAACTGTTCATGAGCTTATTAAAATGACAGATATGATTGGTAAGACAATTTTAATGGCAGATAATTTTCACTGTTTTCCATAGTAGCTGCTCTATTTTATACCCCTGCCAGCAATGGACAAGCGATCCAGTTGCTCTGTATCCTTACCAACACTTACTTTCTGGGGCTCTGTTTTATTTTGTGGGGTTTTTGTTGTTGTTGTTGTCCTTGTTGTAGTGATAGCTTTCCTAGTGGGTATGAAGTGGTATTCCATTATTATTTTGATTGCATTTCCTAGTAAATGATGGGCATGTAAGTGACGTTGGGCATTTTTCATGCTTACTGGTCTCTTATATAGCTTCTTTGGAGAAATATCTGTATGAATCTTTTGCCCACTTTTAATTGGTTTATTTCTTTTGCTTTTGCTGAGCTGAGATTTGTACAGGTGATCGATCATGAGCACATGTCTGGCGATGGTGCTAAGTGTGGTGTGCTTTCAGGGAAGCAGCAGCTGTAGCAGAAAGACAAGTGGTGTGAATCTAAAGACCGGCTCTACCACTTACTAGCTATATAAACCTTCTTATCTGTAGAGTGTACATCGTATTATCTTCAGAGTGTTATTGTGAGGTTACGTAAGTTAGGTAGTCCTCTGTGTACCGTCCATCAGTAGATCTGTTTCCTTCTTTATATGATTGCTGCTATTACTGTTTTTGCTACTCTTTTTTTGAGGCAGACAGTAAAATTAAGTGTAAACATGGCTTGTTAGACCCAATTACTCACAGATTATTCGAATGGAATTGTTACATATCAATTTGTACCAAAATTTCAGTGCTACTATTGGTTGTAGCACTTAAACATCACTACAGAAAAGCCCTGGAAGAGTGGAGCTCTTAACTTTGTTGCTGATTTTAATCCTCTTATCTTAGAAAATTGATATTCTTTTTGTCTTAAGCTGTACTGGTAGTGAATTTCAAGTAGTAGTTTCTAAAATGGTGATCTTTTTGAGTCTATTTTGAAAGATGTTTTTCTTTCTTTAGGACGTTTTCTATTGTTCTTGTTTTGGATCTTTCAAAGCCAAATGACCTTTGGCCCACCATGGAAAATCTGTTACAAACCACAAAAAGTCATGTGGATAAAGTGATCATGAAACTGGGGAAGACCAATCCCAAAGCAGCGTCTGAGATGAGACAGAAGATCTGGAGTAATATGCAGAAGGATCACCCAGTGAGTTGCTGTTGAGACCTTCCTGGGCCCTTAGCCCTGTGCATAGTTACAGTAACATCACAAACAACTTCTTTAGATTTTTATGCATGACTTGAAATTCATTTGATGTAGATGAACCTGTTCACTGGAAAATTATAGCAATTTAATAAAACCTCAGTAAGAGCAAAACAAGGAAAGAGACATCTTATGTCTTTTTGTTAGACATCTGCTGATTGTTATGGCATATTACACCAGTCAAAAGAATAGAGTTCTAAAGTAGTAGTTTGATATTGATTTTATAATCTCTGTAAAATGACGATAAAAAAAACAAGCTGTACAAAAGTCACCTGGAAAAGACTAAATGAAGCTACAAATTTGTGCAAGGAGTAGACTTTTAACAATCCTTATTGTCACGCATATTCATCGAGTGTCTGTCACAAATTCAGTATCTTTTGATTATCTGACAACTAATCAAATTGTAAAGTTGCAGTGATATAACACAAGTCCCTTAAGTAAAATAATGAATATAATTTTCTAGAAAATGGAGAGCAGTATTTTATACTGCTGAGTTTCTATGACTGTTTCACATAACAGAATAAAACAGTTTATGTTCCCATTCTGCAGTATAAATGCTATTGCAACAGCTAATACTGATTACTAAAATGAAATGAAAAGAAAAACACGAATATGACATATTTATAAAAGGAGAGCATGAAAAATGATATCAGCAATTTAGGGAATTGCCCTTCCTAATTTGATACTCAAAAAATATAGTAAGTAAACGTTAAATATCGGGACAAGTAAAGTCAACATGTATGAAAAGACTGAGTATGGTACATTTGGGGGACTAAATAGAAATTGCTTAATGTATAGTATTAAACAATATATAATAATTTATCAATGAAATCTGTTTGATTACAGGATCGTGAGTTAATTGATCCATTTCCAATACCTCTGGTCATAATTGGCAGTAAATATGATGTTTTCCAGGTATGATCTTCTGCTTACAGTTAAATTTATCTGTGTTTTATGGGTAGAGAACGAATGTAGTAATGAAATAAGAAAAGTGACTCAAGCAGTGGGGGGTAAATCAATGAGTCACACAGCTTTAAGATTTTGGAAGACAGGATATAGCTGGAGGAAGAAAAAAATAGGTAAAGAACAATAAATATAGTGGAATGGGGATAGACAGTAGAATGAGGATAAAGTAGATTTAGAAGCTAAATCTTTAACCCAGTCACTGGGGAATAGGTTTTACTTCCCAACTTTTAAATTGAAGAAAGTAGAAAATTGGATTCTTCTTATCTTTACTTGTCAGCGAATCCTTAGGGTAATCCACACTATAAAATGTATGCTTATATCTAAATTTGATTTAAATATCTCTGATGAGCTAAGTGTTTAAACAAAGCAAGATCTGATAACTGGAGCTCCAAAAGGCTGCAGCTATTGTGCAACTCTCTAAAGAAACAAATATCAAGGTAATGGAATCCTACTACTTAGGGCGTTACCCTAAGGGGTAAAAAAGGAAATCTATTTCTACATTTTATAATTTGCATCTTTCTGCTAACAGATATTGAGTTTTCTCAACCTGTCTATTCTTTTTATAGGACTTTGATTCTGAGAAGAGGAAAGTAATATGCAAGACACTTCGGTTTGTTGCACACTACTACGGAGCGTCACTAATGGTTTGTGCACTTCTGTTCTTTGGGCTGGAATGCACAAATTTGGAAAGATGAACAACTTGATGCACCGCTGTGAATTCACTAGTGCCCTCACTAATGCGCATCATCCCTCCTTTCCTTTCCCAGTACTTAAGTCTTGTTGTGAGTGTTTGATAGAATGAATTTTTGCAGCCCAAGTTCTCTATGGCTTCTATTCATAAACTTCAGTCAACTTTAAAAAGACGAATCATTTATTTATTTTTAGTGTCCATAGGTTAGAGTCTGTATTCTCTTTCAAAAAGAAAAGATTTTATGATGCATTCTTTTTTAAACTCAAAAAAAAAAAAATTGCTGTTTGTCCTAGAAGTTAAGAACAGGAGCCCAAAGACTTGCTGCCTGGGTTCAGATCTCAGGGCAACCAGTTAGACATGATCTTGGACTGGTCATTTACTTAAGCTTCATTTTTCTCCAGGTAAAAATGGATAAAAACAGGACCTTCTTCAGAGGGTTAGTATGAGAATTAAAGAAACAGGATGTGTGGAATGCATAGCACAGGGTCTGAAAACAAGTACTGCTCTATAAATGTGGGTGATTATAATTACCACCATTATGATCTCCTTTAGCAGGACTAAATTTTGCTAGATAGTCTTTAATGAACTAAAACATAAAATCACTTTTATTAAAAAATAACTTTTCCATTGGAATAATTATTTAATGTTCTCTTTTAACCCCCTACACTGAAGTGTTCAGAGGAACCTAGCAACAACATGGTCTGGGCCCTGGCCTTTCTGGCTCTGAGGAAAAGGAATAAACACAACATGTATTTTAAGCTTCTCTAATTTTCAGAACACTTCAAATAAATCTAATTATACCCTTAAAAACCACCACCTTTGATGAGTAAACTTATATAATATTTGCAAATATTTATATAATATTTGCTTATATATTAGGTTGATAGACCACTTTGGAAAATATTCTTTATTTTGAAAAGACTTGGGAATTTAAAGTGAAGCATTCATCCAGGGTATGGAAGTATAAATTATAGAGTTTGTAATTTCTAATTTTTGACACCAATTAAAGCTCTGCATTTAGTTCTGGGGGAAATCTCTAACCGTCTGCCGGAAGAGATGATACTTGATGATCTGTCCGGGCCCACTCTAGTTTTATGGGTCTAAATTTGATGACATCCATCAGATCAGCCCAGGCCACCCAACAGGCCTGAGATTCACATCTGGGACCAGGGAAAGGAGTTGCGAAGAGCTTCATTTCAGCCTTTAATAAGCCTGAAGGATCAGAGTTTGGGGTTAGGTCAGTCCTTTGGGACCATCTTGGAAGGCATTAAATGTAGCCTTTGCTCTCTTAGAGTCAAGGACAAGAGATCAATAGAAAATATTTAGAAAGAACTTTATAATACAACCATTATCAGAAATGGAGTGACTTGCTTTGGAAGATAATGAGTTCCCAGGGGATGAGTTAATTCAAGCAGAAACTTTGTAGCTATTTGTGGAGGATGTTTTCAAGGTGATTAATGCAGAAGATTGGGGAGAGGGATGTTTGGGTTAGAAAACTTCTCAGGTCCTGCCATTTCCTGCAGTCCTATAAAATACATTTGTGATAAAGTGTTTTCCTCTCCAGCTATGAAATTTACAAATAATAAGTATTTCCTCAATTCAAGATTTCCATATTTTAAAAAATTAGCTCAATAGAAGCACTAAAATAGTTTCAATATTTTTAAATACATCAAATCTTACATATTTACGTGCATGTCCACTGAATATTTCCCTGGCGGACTTTTCTTAATCCAGAATGAATCTTATATTGAAAATTGTTCCTGTACCTTATAAATACATTTTTATTTTGGCTCACTTACATATATCTTAGACATTCTGATTTAGCTGAGTAACTTTGGGTATTTACAAAAGTAAAATTAATATTAACAGATTTTTAGGGTAACCATGTATCCTGGTTTTCACCTGATGTCCTGGCTTCATAATTAATAGGACCCACGCTCATTTCATCCTCTAGGGTATTCTGGTTATGGCCACCGAGATATATGACACAACCGAGGATATTCTTTAAGTTATTCTGCAGCCTTCAAATGCAGAAGTTCAAAAGAGAAATTAATCCTTTTGGTCAGTGTCAGTCTCCGACTTGTCTGTACTCCCACCTTAACTGAAGGTTGATAATGCACGCTCAGAGGGAAAAGTTATTTATCATTTACTTTCTAACCAAAAGATTGCATTTTGGCTATGATTATGATCCATTCATGGAAGTAGCTGAAATGATTCGAACAGGCCCCTGCGTTATCATGCACTTGCCAAGTTTAAGACAAATGTGTTGCAATTTCTTACTTTTTCTTTATCCAGGTTTTGTTTTGTCTCCTCAAACAGAATATTTGTTAGACAAACAAGTAATAATTGTCTCAGCAATCTGTATCTGTTGAAGTCCATATTTATTTTACCTGTTTCTGTAAGTGAAAAGCAGAGTATATAATTTATTTTTCTGTTTTTGTTTTAGTTCACCAGTAAGTCAGAAGCTCAATTACTAAAAATACGTGGCGTTATCAACCAGCTGGCATTTGGCATTGACAAAGGGTACTGTGAAGATATATTTTTATATCTTTTTATTTTATTATTATGATTTTGCCAGTGTTATCTTATTGTTCTTAACCAGTCTTTTGTTGCTTGACCAAGTGCCTCAGATAACTGTTCTTAGAGAAATAATTTCAAATTACCTCTTCTTATAGTATCTAAATAGTTCTCAGATTTTACAACTGAAATTTTATATATTTTGTTTACAAGTAGAAAAAGATAATGATTGTTTCCTTGGCTTATTTTACTTCTTTTCCCTCATTTTAGTAGTTTCCTATGACCACATTCTTATATTGATTGGTAATTGAATTGATAATTTTAGTATGTATTTTTCTTCATTTTGCTATTTTTCTGGGTTTTTATATAAGGCACCTGGGTCTGTCCTGTTTTTCCTTCTAAAATCTTTAAAAATGCTAAACTTTAATTTTTTAAATCAATGGTATTGATATTCATTTGTGGCAATGGTCTTATCAGTGACTCTATATAAAAAGTTGGCTCTCGTGTTTATAGTAAAGGTGTGGCTGGATATTCAATTACTAAACTAAATTAGATTCTTTTTCTTCTTACCCATGTAGCAAATCAATATGTGTGGATCAGAATAAACCGCTGTTTATCACAGCAGGATTGGATTCTTTAAGTCAAATAGGTTGGTGAACTTATTATGATTGTTCAATCTTTTCTTAATTGCTTATTGATTTTATCCTATTCCATGTTCACTTCATCACCAACATACCACCATTTCTGGTTTCATTATCATTGATGTTCATTCTTATGTATTTATTTGTCCATACAGTATTGATGTGACATGCATCAAATTGACATTTATGAAGGAAGAGCTGTTGTCCCATAAGAGACAGATTTCTGGCCTCTATTCCACTAAAAAAAAATTGATGTATTTCCTTTCTATCCCCTATTTCCAAGTGCTTTTAAATTTTAACTCTTTGGATTTAGAAGAAACCAGAAACAGAATGGTCAGGAAATTCAAAGCTATTTTTCTGGGTAATGATAAAAAATATGAGATTCAAGTGTAGGAAAAAGCCAAAAGAACACACTTGTACTGATTAATTTTCCATTAAAGAAATAGCTTCCCTCAGCTAATGAGCCCTAAGTTCATGAAGTGAAAAAAAATTAAGGATTTATGTAGTCAAGCCCCTATGTTCCCACAGAAGCTATTTTCATGGGGAAGCTCTTTGAACAGCAGGTCTTTCTCCTCTGGTGTTAGTATAGTTTGGTTTTAACAGTAATAGACAATAGTTTCTTTATTCCCCATTCCCCATTACTGTTACAAACTAAGACTGACTTTAAAGTAGAAATCTTTGTAATGAATTGGAATGAAAGGAGTAGAGGTAGATAATGGAAACTGATTTTTATAATTCTCAAAAGTATCAACTTAATTTCGTAGCAGTGAGAATAACTAATAGACAATATTAATAGACAATGCTGATGGTACTTTTTTTGCCCATGTGAGTAACTGGAGGTAGACATTCGTGAATAAAATCACCGTTTGGATACAGTGGAAAATTTTTGCTCTTAAAAGTCTATGTAAAACAGGTAAAAAGATATTTTAACAGTTTGGGAGAAAATATTTTCAACACATATCTAACAAATAATTAGTATCTAGAATATATAGAGAATCACACAGTTAAAAAAAAAATGATCCAGTTGAAAAAAGGCAAAGGACATGAACTGATACTTCATTGAAGAAGACATGAAAATAACAAGCACTTGAGACAGTATTTAAGATCATTAACCATTAGCAAAATGCAAACTGAAACCACAATGAAACATCACCATACCCTTATCAGAATAGCCAAATCAAAAATAGTAACTAGTGCTAAGGAAGACACAGAGAAACATCAAACATCAAACATCACTGATAGGAATGTCAGTGGTACAACATCCTTGAAAACAGCTTAATAGTTTCTTATAAAACTAGGTCTGCAACTACTAGCTGATCTAGAAGATGCACTAGTGGGCATTTATATAAGAGAAATGCACATTTATACCACGGATTATTACTCAGTAAACTATTGAGACACACAACAACTTGAATCTCTAGGGAATTATAGTGGAAAATAAAAAAAAGAAACACCAGAAAAGCACCTAAAACATGATTCTATCTATATCAACTTTTTGGAATGAAAAAAATTTGAAATGGAGGGATGATTGATAGTTATCAGGGGTGTAGTGAGAAGGCTCAAGGCAGGCAACCCAAGAGATCCTCCTGGTAATGGAACTGTCTAGCACCTAGCTGGGTGGCGGCTATATGAACACACAAAGGTTATGAAATTGTGTGGAACTTATCACAAACACACAGGCAAATGATTACAAGTAAAAAATTTGAGAGTGTTAAATAAGATTGGTAAATTTTATTAATTTCCCTGGAAATGGTAAGAGGTCTCTGAAAATTCAATACATTTTAGTGTAGATGCTACAGTAGCAAGATTGAGAAACCTCAGATTATACACTGAAAATTGCCAAGAAATGGAAGCATGATTTCAAGTTTTTCTAATTATTTAAACTAAAGTATGTAAGCAATACATAGGCATCCTCTTTATAAAGTAGGCAGGCTCTTGTGCCAGAGGAAGAAGACAAAGACTAATGAGTAAATTGCAGTTGTCTTTCCCACACTTAAATTGCTGCCTAAGAAAAACATCCAAGTTTGCTATTCCCAGGTGCTCCTGCACGTGTAGCTAACAGGTGCTGTCAGGTACTGCTGGTTAGTGTGAGTTGGAGCAGCTGGGGAGGTGAAATGTGTGATCTAAGATTTGTGATTTTATGAGTATCATATGTTTTAGCTATGGAATTTGTAACGTTTTAATCAGTGCAATCATTTGGAAAAATGGTAAAACTTCCAATTTTAGGATCTCCGCCTGTTCCTGATAATGACATTGGGAAGCTTCATGCCCATACCCCGATGGAGTTGTGGAAAAAAGTATATGAAAAGCTCTTTCCACCAAAAGTATGTGTTTCTGATTCTACTATAGCAAGAATTTGCAGCGCTATTTAGCAGTTACTGGATAATGTTCTAATGGCCTGTTATGATAACTTTGCTTTTATTTTCATGCCTGAAATCAATTTAACATTTGCTGCAAGTCTAGTGTATGCAAGGCACTTTGGGGTTAAAAGACACAAGAGACAGTTCTTGCTTTGCTTGTAAACTGAGCTCATCTGAAAGGAATAGGAGGAACAGGGTGGGAGTTGAAGTGATCCTCCAGGATGATGATAAATCTCAGAAGCCTGTGCAGAGCCTTCAGCCCTGGCTGGGGAGTGGGAGTCTTGCTAGGCAGATGGTAGCCGCTGAAGGTTTGGGTGTGAAATGATTTGAAGAATTGTAATTTCAGAGTATCAACACACTAAAAGATGTCAAGGACCCTGCACGGGACCCCCAGTATGCTGAAAGTGAAGTTGATGAGATGAGAATTCAGAAGGATCAGGTATTATCCTATACATTTATTTTATATTGAGTATATATTGCATATGTAAATATATTGCATATATTTAAATGCACAAATACCTTTTTAATTTCAACTTTTCTGTTTAATTTCTTAATCTTAAAATAATTTAAAATAATAGTACATTCTTTGCTCTACATAAAAACTAAAATTCAGATATTTCATAGCAAAGGAATTAAAAAAACAACTCTTTCTGCCACCCAGAGTCCACATATCTTCTTGGGTTTTCCAGTCACTGGTGTTTAAAGATGGGCAGCAACTCTTATCTTTTACTGAGGAGACAAATTGAGAATACCTCTCTGTGGGATTATGCAGGTTTTGTTTGTTAGGACAACCAAGTAAGCCTATACTTTCCTTGTACTAGGGGAGAAAAATGAGGACTTTGAAACTTGACCTCTTTACTCAGTGTGCCTTAGTGCTTTCTGGAAAGCACACAAGCCCAGGAACTCTCGGGAAAGAGACCGCCTTCCAGAATGCCCTTTGTGGTGTACAGGCTGACGGAAAAAGGAGATCTGGTAGACGCGTCATGGTCTGATACTGCGTTATCTTTCAGATCTCCTTTCGGTTTGTGAAAATGCAGCCCTGTCAGCTTCTGACCCTGTGAAGTCAGCTCATGGGTAGTCAGCGCCATCGGTTGGCTCCAGCAGCCTCTCCTGGGTGTGTAGAAGTGTGGAGTATTGGTGCCACACACAGCCACCCGCGGACGCACTGGCCTTTCACACCGAGGGACCCCGGGATAAGCAAAACATTGTATTTAAACTTAGTCCAGAAGACTTTTGAAAGATGGCATGAATAAGTAAGGGTTTTAGAGCTGTGGCAAAGGGAGAGGTATGTTGTAGGACAGTGTGATGACCTCAAGTAACCCTTACGGTGAGTGAGGTGTGTGTGGCTAAGGGTTAGCTGGAAATCACCTCTGAGTTAATGATCTGGAAGTCAGACGTCTCTGGGAAGAGTGCCAGTTTCTAGCTCCTAGTGGTCGCTTTTGTTACATTTATATATAATTATTATAGGTATTATTAAAGGACCGCGGTATTTCTGAGCATCATGAATTTTCATACTCAAATCCATTTCTACAAATTTACCCAAAACACCGGAATTTTTAGTAGAACTGGAATATAACTGCCTGTGCCATTCTTCATTCTGTGTTCACACCTCACTGATACTTCACTAATTGCTCTCCTCTCTTGGCCAGGAGACTTTTTTTAACCCACAGAATGGTTGTATCTTAATTTTGGCTCTAACTCAGTTTCACTTCTGATGTTTTAGTAGATGAATGCACTGACTTCAGATGGACTTGCAGCCTTGCTCTTCTAACCCAGGGGATTCCATTTAGTTTCTCTAACACTTGAGCCTTCAAAAAAGCCCATATTGCAGAGAATCAGAAAGCAAGAAAGATAAGTCCATCCCTCTACTCCAGCAAAAAATGCATTGAAAACACTCGTCTATTTAATATCCTGCCAATTCAGGGAGGCAGCGAGCCACAATATTCCCTAATGCCTCTTTTAAGTCCTTGGTAGCAATGTGATAACTCTCCAACTACCTTGGCTGCCAGCCCCATAGACTCAGGCGAACCTCAACAGTCTTTGTGACCAGCCCTCACCTCTGAGGCTAGGTCTGAAGGCCCAGCCACCTTTCCTGCAGATTAAATGCCTTTCCTAATTAACTCTCTTAATTAATCTATCTAATTACTCAAAGTTTTCTCTTTTGCCAGATTTCATACGGGCACCGTAAGACAGTTGCTCAGTAATTACTGTTTTTCAAATCTACTTTTAAAGCTTTTGTGGCTTAAAGAAGATGTGAGTAAAGAAAGCACTTGCTAAACCCTTTCATTTCTACCCTGTATTTTTATTGTCAAAGTCAAAAAAAAAAAGGGGGGGAGTGGGTTAATAATTACTTTTAAGGTCTTTTTTTGTCAACCAAACCTATCTATCTTGAACCTCTGATTTTTAAAAATCAATTTGCTTATAATTCCTAGGCCTATAGTTTAGAGACACACACTGTGTGTATTTAAGGGAAAAGGTCTATCCAAGGAATCTAAAAACAATCTTCTCAACTTTCTCATTGGTAAAAATAATTTAACGTTTTCAATTAAAGGCAGAGTTCGATAATTGATTTCTGTTTATTTTTTATGCATCAGTAATCTTTGAAACCACAAGTGGTAGGTGACTGGTGAATTAACTTCTTTAGAAAAAATAAATCAAGCTGTAAAAAGAATTTTGGAATTACCACTATAAAAATTCTTCTGGAATCTTTATAGAGTTTAGAGATGTTTAAATCTTAATGTAGTATATAGTTGTGAAAGGGATGGTCTGCAATATTTTCTGAAAATGAAAATAGAATTTGTTTTTCAGAGCGACTATAACCTTCCATTATGTTAGCCATAGGGCACTAGTGGTCTTATCTTGCAGAGTAACCACTTTATGCTTATCTTGTACTTTGGACAGTTATTTAGACATTGAGCAGCATGTAAGCAGCCAGGAGTCACTCCCTCAGATGACCCCTTTTGCATGTCAGTTTTCTCATGCAGAATTTTCAACCCTAATAAAATTTATCTTTATGAATTTAAAGATAGTATATAGACTCAGTGTCTCAAAAAAAAAAAAAATTCAAAAGTCCTGCCCTCTCTCCTCCTCTTTGCTTTTATCATGTGGCACAAATTTCCACCACTATATTTGCTGGCCATCCGTGAAGCCGTGTGTGAATGCCCCTGAGCACTGGTTTATTTATCTGGTCCTTTCCAGGAGCTCTCTGAATTCTCTCCAGTGGTCTGCCAATACACACAGTTCAGTGACTATCCTGTTTATATCCTCATGCTCTTGTCTTTTATTCCACATAGTAGACTTCTATAACTGAGCCAAAGGACATATACGTTTTAAATACTAACACTTTGCTAACTTCAACCAGGTTTGACAAGCATTACATAGCAAACAAATTTAAATATTTAATGTGTGACAGATGATTCCTTTTATTAGTTAAGAGACGATTTGCACATACTATATAGTATATAATTTTTGTCTAAACTTTCACTCATCTCTAAATGCTGCTTAGATTATATAGAAATGTTAGACTCCACATTTCTAGAAAATAAATTCTAAACAATGATTTACAAAATAACTGTCAAGAAATATTAAGAATGATAATGCTATAAGTTACATTGTTATATCTAAACAATACTAATAGTTTTCAGGGCCTAGTTTAACTTTTAATGCTAATTTTTTTAAAGTAATATATTTTTTTTTTTAATAGGAACTGGAGCAATACAAAAGAAGCACTTCCAAGTCTTGGAAACAAATTGACCTTGATTCTTGAACCTGATTCAACTAGAGATATTTATGTTCCCTTTCCTAAATACAAGTAAGACTTTTATTAATTAGCTACTGTAATAAGAAAAGTTACGTGATTTCTAAAAGGCAAAGTGGAATTTCACTATAGTACAGCTTCCTGGATATTTTAAAATCTTTTAAAGGAGAAAAATGCATCACTACATGTAATTTAAAAAAATAAAATTTTTTGTTTTAGCGCCTATCTCTAACAAGTTTAGTATATACTCAGTTTAGCATTTATACATTTTTGTTTATATAAGTTTCAGGAATATGAAAGCAAGAGCATTTAATAGTATCAGTAATTAGTATTACTAATTAAATTTTAGACACATTCTGTTGCTAAGGAATTCTCAGCTGTCTGTGGTAAGAAACTGGAATGGGGTCCATTTCCACAGGTGTCATCAATGCAAGTATAAATCAATTTAACCAAAACACTGGAGAGACTTACTTAAAATGCACATTCCTGAAACCCCCACACCCAAGTAGCCAGAGTCTGGGTTTGAAATGGGACTTGGTAATCTGCATTTTTAATCAGCAGCTCCAGTGATTCTGATGATCTTATTTTGAATATCGCTTTTTTGAAGAGTGGGCACACTTTAAAGAAGTTGTTCTATTAATAAACAGGCCAGTAAACAATCAATTGAGTTGGCAGCCAATCAAGGTCACTTTCAAGGTGGAACAGCCACTAAGAAGCTTCTCAATCCTGAGATTTGTGTAACTGCTTGCTAAATTAATTTTGAAGTATCATTGCTGTCATTGACCAGGAAAGTCATTTACTTTGTTCTTCCATTTCCCATGTAAAGCATGTTGACTAAGAGGCCATGTATCCAGCTTCAAACAAATACTCTTACTAACCCCCAAAACACCAAGATTGGTGGATAGCATCTAAGTAGACAACAAACTATGGCTTTCTACATGAGTTGCAGTGCATGTAGTTCCAGCCCTCTGGAAACGGAGTTTTCATCATTTTCCCAAGGAAACTGACACTCAGTCTCAGAAGCAGATAGGCCCCTGCCTATGTGTTGTAGAGAAAGTTTCCATTAAGCAAACAGTGAGTGCTTTGATCCCAGAAACATCATTGGCTTGGTGGGAAGAAGCAACCTATTTTACAACAGTAGTAGGAAGTTTTATTATATAATTTGATTTTCTTACACATCACTGTCCATTTTTATTTGAGATACAAACTGTCACATGTTGAAAGACTTGTGTTTTTCTAAATGGTATCACTAACATTTAATAGCTTGAAGTCATGTGCTGTGTCAATTTTCCAAATGTTTCTGAGCTAGAATGAAATTCATCTGCATATGAATAGTAGAAAATGTTCCCACTTACAATGTACACCCATATCTTTAGTAAGTTGAAATCTGTGATTTCAAAAGAGGTTCCTGTGGGACTCTCGAACTACTTTAATAGATTATCATCTCCAGAATTGTCTATAACTGATGTGACATATATAATCTGTAAGGCATTATATAACTATTACACCATAATCATCAGTGTCAAAGAGCTTTTATAAAAATTGACAATACTATTCTGGTAATTTACCAGTGTCTCCAGATCTTTAAATACTCCTGTAAGAAACAGAATTTTACTGTGGTTTCCGTAATGAAATGATCCTTCCTACTCTAATGTAAGCCATTTCAAATGCTGTAATTTATCATACATTACAAGTTAGGTCACAGAAACTGAACAAGTTCATTTACTGTCTAAGCTATTTTCACTTCAAGTTACTATGGTAACATTGAGACAGTTTCATTTCTGACTTGTACATGAATTACTCAAAGATTGATCCAAAAGATAGTCACTTAGTACAGAACTCATTATTAATAATCGATATACATCATTTCACCCCTAGTACAGGTGTCTGTATTTACCACCATTGTTTCTCTTTACCATCCAAGAACATGAATTCCCAGTGTGTAAGTCTCTCCTTACTGTAAACGTACAGCCGTGTATCTCTTCTGTATGGATTTTAAATATAGTTGCTTTCCAGCCTTCAAGATATCATTTCTCAGTGCATGCACTTCTCTAGTAACATTTAATTTTACAAGTAAACTAGGCAGAAAGTAGAAAAATAGCAAGTAACCTTTAAAAGGATCACCAGAGGCTTGTCTGGCGTTGTGTGTTTTCAGTTCAGGCCATTCCGGCAGTTTTTCATTTTAATCACTGGGTTCTCTTTATCAGTGTTCCCACCATTCAGCATCCCCTGGAGGTGATCAGGTTAACTCAGACCCCTCACATGGACATATAAATATGGGTTTTTAAATGATCATTCTTACCCAATTCTGCATGATGCTTTGCGTCAATAAAATCCCCCAACTCTCTTTTCTGTTGCTTATACTCAGTAATCATTTAAGTGCTATCAAATGTAAGCATAATTCTTTAACTGACCTATTTTTCTGTGTCTAGAAAAAAGAAAACAAACAGTCACACCAGTCTCCCATAACTTTATGAGTTATTATTTACATATTTGGACGAGCTAGTCACAATTTCCAAATACCCTCTCTCTACAAAGTGGAATAACAGTCAAGGGCTGTGTAGACTCAGGGGTACAAATGGAATATCTAGCTAAAAGGCTATGAACTCTCTAGAAAGCTAATGTGCTCTCTAGAAAGAAGCACAAGGCTTTCTTATTTCAGACATTCAGCGTAGCCATGCACATATAAGAGCTTCAGTTCCATTTTCACAGCAGTGTTTTTACTACCTGCTAATGAGATAATCCCTTATTTTAAATACGACTATTCCCAGGATGACAAGAGCTGGGATAAATGAATACAAAATCAGAAAGTTTGCAGTGAACCTAGATGTTGCACCTGGGCAGATTTTTTCAATGAACTCAGTTCCTTGAGTGGAGATACACATTGAATTAGCTGTCACAGAACCATTTGAGCTGCCTGCCAGGGAAAAGATTCACAGTGTCAGAAATGGAAACTCCAGAGAATTTAGATAACAAGTATTTACCAAATGCCCAACACATACACAACAGTTACACTAAGGGCTGAGCACCCTGCTAAGTAGACTTCTTCATGAAAGATATAGGACATTTTGGAGAGCTCAGAATTGCATTATTAGGCAACAAAACTGAGTTTTCTAGCATTGGCTTCCTTTGAAAGTAGAAATGGGTCTGTTTCCATTTTGGTATATATTCATTACCAGAGCCCTGAAGTCATGACCACTTAGCCTTGACTATCTCTGGATACTGATTATAACCTAACAACCTGCCTTGTCTTCAGTTGGCTTTACAGACTGGCTTAAGATTCCATTGGCTAGATGGACCTTGTTACATTGCCATTGTCCTCTGTGTGTTGCCGAAACAGACCAGCAAAAATGCTATGTACATTTGGAGAACAAGAAACTACTCTAGCCTGTCTCTACCTGTTCAGTGGGTACAGAAACTGATCCCACCCAGAATATACTAGATTTTATCTGAGTGCACAGTAGGCCTTTTATTTTCTAAAGACATCAGAGTGGCTTACACTGATGACCTTTGATACAAGGTGACTAGCTTGATCATTACTTATATTTTTCTATTTTAAAAATCAGAGGAAATGTCAAACTTTTATTTCAAAATAAGGTTTTTGAATGAGTATAAGACATACTTTTATTTTTAAGAATTTCCCAGTAAATTGTTTCCTAGGAATAATATTTAGAAATAGTATTCTAAAATAGAGTACTTACCACAAGTGAAAGTCTGTCCATAGAATTCATTGACAACAAGAATCTCACAACAATATTTTTGGAAGGTAAAATAAGTGAAGATTTTAAAAGGAATGGGCATTTCTTCTGTATTTCTTAAGAAAAAGAAAAAGGGAAATGAAATTCAATAGACCCTGGTAATGGTCCAATCAAATGAAAAGAAAGGCAAACCCTATGTTTCCCCCAACACAAACATCGTTTTTCATCTCTCATTATAGAACTCATACTCACTATAAAAGTCTTTACACAATATAAGATTTTTGTATTGAGAAATATAAGAAAATATCAGACAAAACCAGACCAGACCAGAAATAACTACCATTAACATTTGATGATGTACATAACATGTATAAGTGTGTTTATAAAAGTTTTACACATGAAACTAAAATTCTTCATGCTTTTTTCCTAACAAGCTTCTTTTTTTCAAACACATTCGACCAAGTCAGTAAGCATAAAGCTCTCCAGTATTTTAAATCACAGCTCAGTCATCCATGATAATAGAAACTTAATTTAGCAATGCCCTGGTGATATGTTGATGTCTAATTTTTTTTGTAACACATTTTCACATTGAAGAAAATTTTTGATTAAACAGAGATCTGAGGAAGCTGGTGTATGAAGTGACAACTAAACTGTAATACAAGAAAAGGGTGAAGATAGCAGACAGACATTCACTGAGAAAATGAAATATGTCTCCTCTTGAATCTATTTCTGGCCTCAGTTTACTACACAGCTTCTATCAATAAATACACATTAAATTATTTCTATTTGCAAGAAGCAACAGTTTTAGGTGCTTGAAGAATTCAAACAATATATCCTATCTCTAAAGAACTGACAGTGTAGCTGGGGAGAGAGACTATTTTTTATCACTTAAACTCTGAAACTACACAGTGGTAGATACACAGTTCTAAGAAAGTGCAAAAACCAGTACCACATGTCCGTGGCATTCTTGTCTTTAGTATTTATGGTTTCACCTACTCCCAAACGACCCCAAACTCCATGACTTACAGTCTGGCTATTTTCTAAGGCATTAAAATTATTTGTTGAGGGCCCTCCCTGGTGGCACACCGGGTTAAAGCACAACACTAGGAAGCTAAAGCCACTTCACCATGAGTCCCAGCCCCGGAGGGACCCACATGGCACAGCAGACCTCTCCTGACCTACCCACTGCTCCCCTCAGCAGTGTACTTCATCAGTCAGCCTGTTCTGCTCCCCACTCTTGTCTCTGGTGAATCCTCTCACCACCCCTGCACCTCTGGCCTGTACCCCAGCTCTGTATGCAGAAATAAATCTTTTTAAAAAATTATTTGTAGAGAGCAACCTCTTTACATTGAGTCTGCTTATTGGAAAAGTTGGGTAGGAATCCAAAGAGAAAATTAGGGAGAGAGGACACTCTAGATAGGCAGAAAGGTATGAATAGAGGAGCTCAAGGGCTGCATTTGGGACTGAATGGGCCGGGAAGGAAGAGGATCTGAACTGGAAGCAGTGGGAGGTGAGTTCGAATTGACAGCTGGGAACCAGCCATTTGGAGGCCTTGAAGTAGGTTGACAGTTACGGACTACGATAAATGTTAGGGTGAAATCAATGTTTTAAGAAAATTCATGTGACACCAGCAAGTAGGATGGACCAGAATAAGGGCAGATTAAGAACAGAAGAAAGGAGGAAGGCTACCACAGGAAGCAGCTGTGAGATGACACAGACCTGGAAGAGGATTTTCACCCCTGAAGGAGGGTTTCCTAGCCATCTAGATAGTGCTCTGAGGAGAAAGCTGTGTGCCATCACCTTGCACTGCACCACACAGGGAAAAACTGTACAACTCCTCTCGATTTGTAGTTTGACATCAAAAAAGACCACCAGTAATCCAGGAAGAGAAAGTAGGCATTCGTTTATTCACTTAATTCTATAATGAAGTGAATTAAGTGTGCCGGCTACTGAGACAAAATTTTGTGGATGAGACACAGCTGCTGCCCTCGTGAGGCTGACAGAGGTTGACTGTAATAGCAGCTGCAGGTGATGGGTTCTGAGAGAAAATGGGGAAAGGGAGAACTTTCTGGCTATGGGAACCCTGGGCTGGCTCTGTGCAGGTGTCAAAGGAGGCACAATCAGGGAAAGATCAGAGAAAGATGAGTCTGAGTAGGTATCCTCAAAATGTTGAAAAGGGAGCACCCACACGTGTAAGTACTGACATATTTTTTATTAATAAAAAATACATAAATGGCTAGATAAGCCAAATTTAACCTGGGATATGATACTTAAGTCAACTTTTATTTTCCTCAGCTCACTTTTACTTTTTCCCTGCAAGAATGTGCATACTTTGTAAGTACCAAGAACAGCAGTCATTTCCATTTATGTTTTAAGAAGGCGGCAGCCCAAAGCACAAATGCTGTAGGCAGTTAGTCAGGAAAGATGATGGCTTGCGGGATAAAGATAAACTTAATTACTAGGAGGTGATGTGGCCTGCAAGAATGGAATTTCAGTTCAGTATTGGGAGTGGAAGCCAGGCTAAGCCTGTGGAGGTTGAGATTGTGCAAAGAACCCAAGAGCATTTGGTAATAATTAATCACTGCCTCCCTTTTAAGAACAGGTAGTCCCTTTTCTTAAAAAGCAAATCCCTGATTTGACTGATCAGAGCACATATTGATTCAAGTATGCAAGAGAAGTTGCCCAAGGTTGGCTTGCTTGGTTGCATAGCTTGGGGTGGTATGGATTTGTGCATTTTTCATAGATGCTAATAACCCATTTAAGCAACATCGATCAATACAATGCAGTGGTGTCACTGTAAAAAATAAGAACTCTTTGACTGATCAAAACCTAGCTCTCATATAAGTCAAGGCAGCTGGGTAAGTGTTTTTACTTCATAATGAGTGGATTGCCTCATTCATGCCTCAGGGTCCCTTGAGGCGGTAACATGGTTATCTTCATGTTATAAATAAGTCAAACTTAGCTAGAAAGCTACTTGCCCATGGGCACATCACAGCTAAGTGGTAGGGGAAGTTTGCCTGGTAGGTCAGCTCTCCCTAGGGACCAAAGTGCCTCCTGAGTCTTCACAGTGGTGTGACTGGAGCAAAGTCAAGTCTGACTTAGTTTTCCTACTTGAACATATAGGAGAGGCACCCACCCTTTTTTGTTGATTATTTGATTTCTACGTCACAAAGCCTCTTTTACATTTCCTCAGGAATGAACACTTATTAGATCCTCTCGCATCACCTGCCTAGGACCACTGTTGCTCCTCTAAAAGGAGGGTTGTCCACTATAGAAAACTCACGAAATACAATATTATTACCCATTAATACAGGTGAAGTACAATATATGTCACCTGGAGATAATTACTGTTAACATTTGCTAAGTATGTGTCCTTCTGGACCTGATGCGTTCTAGAGCAGCTCTTAACTGATTTTTTTTCCTTCATAAAAATAAGTGGGAATTGAAAATACAACAGCTCAAGGGCAGAAATGAAATAATGCAAGCTCTTTACCCTGTAATACAGGCTCTGAGTGGGTTGGCTTTCCTTCTGTTATGACTTATTACAGGTGAATCAGATCAATCACATGCCTCCATGGTCATTTCCTGGTTTTCAACGTGAAGACTTTTTGAACAAATGATGAACAGTTCAAGGTCTAAGCAGTAATAATTAACAAGCACTATAAATATTCCAGTCTCTATGTGATACCTTTAACTGGTACCACAGCACTCTCCCCTGGGATTCCCATACCAGCTGCTATTAGGTGATCATTAAGAACACATCATGCACACACTTTGAATCAGCACCTCTTACCTCATGAATCCCGATCCCACAAGAACTCCAGCAATGCACAGAAGAGCCACGACGCTGTTGACCACATTTGGGTTTTGGACCATACCAAGTAGTACAAGAGTTAGAAGTTCGCCAATTAAGTGGGGAACCAACAGAGCAGCAGAGAAATACCCAAATCTGGCAACCTCGGGGTATAAACCCAGAGTCCTAGAAAAACAGGAGGTCCTCCATTAGCCAGGGTTAGCATCTAAGGAAAACAAAAACTCACATGCCTTCTACAAACAAACCCATGGTGGTTAGTGGGTGGGGAGAGTTTTCAAGGCAAGTCTAATTTCCTTTTGTAGAGTCTTTTGTAGGGTCTTATAGCCAGATTGTTTATTAGTCTCAGATTGTTTCTGTTGGCTTCAATTCAATTGGAGCCACCTTTTATAACTTCCTTTCTCATAGGGAAATAGTAAGCCACTCAGTCAATGGTCTCAGCTAACTGCAGTTAGTAGGGCTGTGAACCCCTCCACATTCTGGTTGGGTAGCTCCGCTCCTGGCATGCTCGCCTCTTCCCTCACGGCTCACCCAGCCGGACTCTCAGCCCTGCCTTCTCTGAGCCTGATGCCCGCTAGGAGACATCACTACCAGCATGAAACCTGTTCAGTGCTTCCCTCCTTAATCAGGTCAGCTCTCTACCAACCTCTTCCACTGGCTGGACTTTCACTCATGTCCCTTCCTTTTACAGTCCTTTCACAGACAGCACTTCCCTGGTGACAGAAGGTCCCCAGCAACCATCAGGCATGACAGCTCTTCCTTCCACTTGTAGGTGAGGAAAAGAAGTTGGCCTGTTTTATACCCAACTCTACAAGGCCATCTGCCTTTCCTCTGATACAAATCATGAAGTATGTTTACAAAATTAGTTTCCCCAGTGAAATCTTCTGTGACTTTTAAAACATCTCACTTTTGAGAATGTTCAGCACCTAAGCTAGGGTCTTGATGACCCATCATATCCATTACTCCTAATTAGGTAACGTGGTCAGTTCCAGTGACTACACCCACCTAACCTTGATTACTCACCATCTTGCATTTAACTAATTCTCACAACTGTTCCACCTAAAAGACTTCAGATTCTAAAAATGTCCGCTCTGACTATGGTTTCTCTCCTGTCTTTAGGGGGCTGGGGGGATCAAGTTAAACACAGAATCAAACCTGAGAGTCTGCTGGTTAAACAATATTCAAAGCAATGCCAGTGATGTGATCCTGGACCAAGCTGAGTAGCAAGATTCTAAACTCACGAGGTCTGCGATTTTCAGCCAACATGGTTTTACTCAAGAATTTGCTCCTAGATCATCTAGCCTGAACCAACAGGCCTGTGATTTACATCACATTCAGAGACTCGCATGCTGCAGAGAATCAGGAGGCCTCTTCGCAGTAGCAAGGCGCCAGTGGTCCTGCCACAGCCAGCTGAGAGCACCCACACTCCTGCTGACACTGAGGAAACCACCCTGCCACGGTCACTCGCCAGAGTAACACCTACTTCGCCAACCCGCACCAGGGGCTGGCAGCTCTTCCTCTGAGAGCTCCAACTAACCAAGCCCTCTTGATCTCTCCTATGTCACTTAATTTACAATGATGATTCAGAGCCTCCATCACAGGTCTCATGCTGGCTAAGGTTAGGAGCACATGAATCCCGTGGTCTGAGCACTGACAGTATCTCAACTTCTCAAAGTTCTTTCTTTGATGGGATGATGGGCTGGGCACCAATAGAGCCACTGAAGCCTCAAGGATGGGGAAGATACACCTGTGACTCCAAGTAACAACAGTTTTAGATTTATATCTCTTAAGAGCGCTAAGAAATAAAAAGCATTGTCTAATTTTATGGGGGTTGAATGGGGAATGGGATCAAAAATAGTGGGGGGAGGGAAGTGCACTGGACTATGGTGATGGCACATGGGTGATTTGATGATGGGAAGCCCATGGGGATTACAACTGAGATGGAAAAAGGTACAAAATGATGTAAAAATAAACTATATTATTATAAAAAGAAAAAAGAAAAGCATTGTCTATAAGTGTCAATCAAGCCTAACAGCATTGGGGATGCTTCGTGGCCCCCCCCAAGTCTGCTTCCCATAGTTACTGATTCCTCAAGGCCCCCATGATCAGCTGTGATGCCTCAGGTTTGTGCATGAAGCTTGCAGCAGCCAGAGGGCAGCCATGCTTAACTGCTTGGACTAGCTGCTCACTGCCTCTGTACCTGGTCCCAACATTTCAGTGCCCTCTTCTCACACCTGCCACCAAGGTGGGACATGCTGCTCCCTGGGACACAGAGTCACACCGGTCTGCTCTCATGTCTCATGTGGTCAGTGCTTGGGTTCTTTTGTTTTTCTTGAAGGACAGGACTTTGTTTGGACATTGACGGGCAAAGACACATCAGGGCAGCAGGCGAAATCCCACCGGCCACCTGGCATCCTCGGGGAGGCCTCAACACCCTTAAACATACCCTTACCAGTAGCACACGCTGCTGAAAATCATGGTGGCAATGATGCTGAAGGGGAGGGCATGCAGCACGTAGGCCAACAGCATCTGCCACTTCTGGTAGAGGCCGTCCTGGCTCTCCTGGTCGCTGATGGCTCGCAGCACAGGAACTGGGCATGGAGGCAGGTTTCAGAATAGCCAGCCCCCACACAAACAGAGGGCTAGCCCAAGATGAACTGGAGGTCTGGCAGGGCTAGGGGGTGAGACCAGGGGAAGCAGGGGAGCCTGCCTCCTTCCAGAGACCCCCAGAGAGCTCCTCCTAGTGAGCTAATTCATGCAAAGGTTTTAGCAATGCAGTGCAGTTACCTTTTCCCAGAGAGGGAGCCTGGAGAGGGCCAACGTTAGCTCAGAGAAATCATCTGTTAGTGATGGGGTCTTGCAAGGTGCTGGGTGGGTAGGCACATATGTGGGGAGAAGGGAAGACTCTGTTTTGGACCCTGTGGGCTCGGCACTTACACAGATTCACACCGTTGAGCATGCCTGTATACGGCATGGCCCCCACAAACTGGTACATGACACCCAGGCGGTCCTGGACAGCACCATTTAGCACGTCGTTCTGGACCCGCAGAAGGTAGAAAATGATGAACAAACCCATGATCAAATTCTGAACGAGACGCATAATCACTGCCAGCTTATTTCTCATTAAGTTCCTCGTCACTCTCCTGGAAGCAGAGGACCCCCGTTTAACAACTTTGCTGTTTCTGGTGGGTGTCCAGCCACCTAAGATGGGATATGGCTCTTACCTCACGAGGACCCACAGTTTGGAGAGAGCACCAGGAGAATCTTTGGTCTTAAAAGGAATCCTTGGTAATGTTTTCAGGTGCTTTGTTCTTTCAATATTCCCCAAGGTTTTGTGATAAATAGCTGATTCTTTGTATGAAGCTTCAATCATATGGACTCTCTTGTAGGTTTCTACTTCCCGTTCTTTGCTTTGGGTATCCACTGATGTCAAGTCCACTGAAAGTTTTTCCCAAGGAGATGACCCGTGGGTTTTTAAATACAGATGCAATCACAAACACAGATGCGCACACAGACACACGCACACACCGTGGCTAATAATGTGTCATCACTGGCTTAGGAGTAGCCACAGTCCTCACCCCATCAGAACAATACCATTGTTAATGCCCACCTATACAGCCAAAATATTTTAAAACTCCAGCAGTGTACGAGAGTCCCACTGGGGTGGTCTGGGAGAATCCAGACACTCAGTGAACTTTTCTCTGACAAAGTGCACAATTTAAGGGAGCTGCCCCGTCTCTTTGTGATAAGTCACCTAAGGTGAGTTCATTGGCCTGGTCAAATCCACTCCTTGCAGAATAAAAATACGAAATAAGAGGAAAAAGAAAACCCATGAGTGCTGCTTCATCCAGGAAGAAATCTAAGATGATGAAGTTTAACAAGCATTTATGTAAGGGAACATGAAAGAAAAACTTACTATAGAAGTCAAAAGGGTTTGAATGTTCAGGACAAGGGTAACCACAGCCACTGAAGAAATCCAGCATTTCTACTGGCGCCCCGCAGAAAACCATCTCTCCGCTGCTCAGAATGGCGATTTTGTCGAAGAGCTGATTAGACAACAGATGGTGTTAGTGTATAATAATCAGGCCATGGGCTCAAATGGTATATCAGCATCCAAGCAATCAGTCCTTTGACCACTGGGGCCCTGCACATGTCCTTCCTGTGTCCACTGGTGAGAAGGTACAGCCCTATTCTTTTCAGCCCAGGTTGCCAACTGGATGGTGCTGCTTCCAGATCTAAGAGCTGGATTGTCCTGGGACGGTGGAACAGCATGAGGAACTCTATAGTGTTTCCCTACACACTCTGTGTCCCAGTTTGAAAAACTGCAGTGACTTCAGTTTTCCCATTGACAGGCTATGCACAGCGCCTCATTTGGGGTACAGGAGAACCACTGGGTCTGGTTGGGGGACCTGGCTTTGAGGCTCAGCTGTGCCACTGCGTATGTGATCTTGGACAAAAAAAATTTAAATCTCAGATCTGCATCAATCAAAGACAAAATTCCCTTAAAGGCTTGTGGGAGGATAAAGCTGATCCTTATAAGGAAACATCTGTGATTTAGTGGTAAAATGCAGTCTTTGGCTATAAATGCCAATTCTAGCTTTTACTACTGTGTGATAGGGGCTCAAATTTGTATCATTTCTGCCTCCCTCTTCTCTGTACAGTGCTGATACTGACCTCATAGGATTGTTGTGCAGGTTAACGAGCTCAGTGTACAAAGACACTTGACACTTAGCAGGTGCTCAAAGAAGTGATTGCTTGTTTTGCCCATCCCATACAGGACCCACTGACTGCAGCTGCCCGGGTTTAATGGGTACTGATCTCTACCCCCTGATCCTCAGCTCAGCACACACATATCTGCACCTTGATGCATTGAGCAGAAATCTGCCCTCTCACCTGGAAGAGCTCAGAGCGGGGCTGGTGGATGGTGAGGATCACAATGCGGTCCCTGCGGGCCAGCTCTACGAGAAGGACAACGATCTGGTTTGCTGTCATGCAGTCCAGGCCTGTGGTGGGCTCATCAAACAGCATGATCTCTGCAAAGGGTCAGATTCCAGAGTCACTGTCAGGCCCAGACAGTGCTTAGAACTCAGAATTTTGAATAATCCCTTGCTGAGCTGTCTTGCCCAACCCAACTGTACACAGTGAGAGGTACCAGCACATCAGCTGGCTTCCAGCCTGCGTCCAGAAGAAGCTGACCTGGGAAGGGCAGGACAGAGGAGGGCCCAATATTAAGCTGACCTGGGAAGGGCCCAACTCGACTTCTGGAGTCGAGGGGCAGGCAGGAGGGCCACCTGCTCAGGCGTTCATGTGATAGTATGGACAGCTTGGGCAACGTCCAGGGGACTCTCACATAGAACAAGGGTTGGGAGGCTGGCACCATTATTTTGTCCAAAAGGCTGAGAGGAGGCTAATTAAAAAGTCGTAAACACATTTCAAATCGAGCACCTTCTACACTCACAGGCTCTGTGCTCTGCTAAAAATGCTGAGCTGTGAAACAGCCTAAGGTGGAGCAGATGTGTGGGTCTTCAGCGGGCTTAACTGTAGGTTACTTCTACCCAAAAGGGGATAAGGGCTCTGAAAAGCACCTCTTTCTGTGCTTTCCAGTGACACTCTGAAGCAGTCTTACTCTAACCCTCCATGACAAACATAACATTGAATATGTCCTTAGGTGGTCAGGTCTCTCCTGTGGCAGGAGATCACCAAACTGGGGAGGGGGGTGAGGCCGGGAGTTTGGTTATCCCATCTTGATAGCACCCCCCTCCAAAATGTATAATTCTGAGTGTATCACTCAAAGTCCTACTTTAATTCTGCCATTCCATAAATAACTCGAGAGTTACCAAAATTCACTGGCTCTCCATAGCAGACACAGGCAGTACTCCTGTAAGAAGCAGGACAGAGGAGAGCCCAATATTCACGTAAGACCCTAATTAAACAGTAAAACACAAATGCAGTGCCTCCACATTCAAAAGCTGAGTTGTACTAAGATAGTGGAATAGCATCAGGCATTGCACGGTGTTCCCCAAAAACTCAGGTCCCCTGTTTGAAAAACTTCAGTGACTTCAGTTCTACACAAACACCTTTCCAAACAGAGACTATGAAGAAAGGGCCTATGGACGCTTCCCGCAAAGCAGCTGATAGCAGTCCTGGGTCCCACTTACTGGGGTCCTGGAGGAGCTGAGCTGCGATGGAGACCCTGCGCCGCTCGCCGTTGGAGATCCCCCCAAGGTGATAGTTGCCGATCAGTTGATCTGCCACATGGGTCAGACTCAGCTCTGCCATGACTGCCTCCACCTACAGGAGACACAGGCCCCAGAAGGCTGGTCATGGCGGGCTGCAGCTCCAACTCACCAGCTCCGAGTGGTGGGGTGGGGAGAGGGGCGAGAGGGAGGTGCGCTTCTCCCGAGTGCTCAGGCCCCTCCAGGCTCTCCACACCCTGAGAAAGCAGCGAACTGCAATAAAACCCCATCTCCTTTACATCACAATAGATGCGTGCATCTGGGTAAAATAAATAACATTTTAAGATTTATTTATTTATGCATACAGAACTGGGGTACAAGCCAGAGGTGAAGGGGCAGTGAGAGGCTTCACCAGGCAGAGAGGGGAGCAGAACAGGCAGATGGATGAAGTACACGGCTGAGGGGAGCAGCAGGTGGGTCAGGAGAGGTCTGGGCACTATGTGGGTCACCTCTGGGGAGCGGATGGAACTCGTGCTGCTGTGGCTTTAGCTTCTTAGTGCTGTGCTTTAACCCACTATGCCACCAGGGAGGGCCCTATTTTCAAAAGTATTTAGCAACAGAAACCACTTATACTTATTTCAAGTAAATTTTCCAGGAAAAATGGAGACCACTGAACTCTTACTTCAGGTGCTGTAGTCAGCCCCACCCTT